CTCTTCTCAGTCTGCCAGGCCTTTACACAAGAAACCCAAATCTCAGAGGCAGCCATAGCTAATTGCTTAGAGGGGCTCATGTAATGGCCGCTGGTGGAAGTGGGACTTCCAATCTGCATTCCACCAGTGCAGGTTTAGAAGATACAATCTCAAAATGGGGCACTGTGAATGATGCATCCTGGAGGGTGGCTACTCATCCTTGGAAATTTGCTATTTTAGTGGGTAGCAGAGTTTTATTTGTGTGTGTGTGTGTGTGTGTGTCCTGGGGCTGAACACAGGACCTGGGTGCTGTCCTTGAGTTTTGCTCAAGGCTACTACTCTACTAAAGACACAACTCCATTTCCACCTTTTGGTGGAAAGCCACTAGGCTGGCTTTGAACTATGACCCTCAGATCTCAGCCTCCCTAGTAGCTAGAATCGCAGGAGTGATCCACTGGTACCCAGCCCTGGGTGGCAATTCTGAGTGGTGATGGATTCCATAGTTCTGGTCTTCATATCATGTCTTTCTGATTCACCTCATGTTGTGAGGAATCCCATGGAGGAGCACTGGGACGGTGGTGATGTCTGAGGACCTGGCAGGAAAGAAAGCCCTACCCATGGTGTTGTTGAGATAAACTTCTGGTCCTCTTGGGTAGAAAGAATGCAAAACCACCATCTTGTTGCCACTCTGCCAGTTGTTATTGAAGAATAGTGCTGTTTGGGAGCCTCAGCTTCAGTCTCTGTGGCAGGTAGTAGAATGCTTGGTAGCAGGAGAAGCAAGTGGGAGGCCATGTTGCACAACATCTATCTCTGCCTCTATGCCTACTCCGTGCATGGGCCCCCTGTGCTACCCCTGGGATGGACTGATGATGGGGGCTGACTGATGCCAGCTGACGGGTCCATGTTGCAGTTGCTTGATTTCTTTTCTTTGGTGGACAGTCTCTGCTGGGAAATGACATGTAATATAATAGTTCTTACATGCTTTATCACACTTTCCACAGGCCTCTTCTCCAGACCTCCTTGATCTCTATTTCTAGTTTCTTCTTGACAGGTCCCTATCTCAATTCACATGACTTTATATACTCTAACCTTAGGCCACTCCTCTGCCCACAAAACACAGATGGGCAGGCCTATTGCTTGAGTGGAGCTGTATTACAACTGCCATCCATTTTGATGTACCCCACACTGGCCCATCTGAAAGCAGAGCTTGGGTTTCTGCTATTCCTATGTGATCCCTAGTATAACTACAGGTAAACTGTACAAGGGACATCGGTAAGACAAAAGTGCCAATAGTGTGATGCGCAATATTCTATATAAATATCCTGACAGTCCTGATCTCTTCTGATGCAGGACATTTAACAGACCCCTAGAAAAAAATAGAAACAAGTACTGTTGTTCACTCCATGTGAATGTAAACTGTTTCAAGTCTTCCTTTCTGACTTGAATAGAAAGGAATGTACCTGCACAATCCTTGGCCACAAACAGTATACCTGAGGCCTTATTATATAATTCTAGCAAAGATTCCCACCTCTGCTATGGCCAGCTGCATTTGAAACTACTTCTTGGCTGAGTTCACATAGCCTCTTCCAAGGGTTGCTGTGGTCTGTTGCCTATTGAGTTGAAGTAGCCTGTTGCCATTTTCCTGATTTGACTGATGCATTTCATGGAACAAGGATAAGGACTATTATCATTTCAGCTTTTAAAAAATTGTTACTATAAAGATAATGTTCAAAGGGGTTACAGTTACATAAATCAGGTAATAAGTACATTTCTTTTTGGACAATGGTACCCCTTTCATTGCAGCTTTTGGATCCTTGAGATAGTCATAATTGCCACTTTCCTCTCCAGGATGTAATACTGTTTTGATATATTCACTGATGGACAAGGAAGGAGCTGTAATTTTACAGATTTCCCTTTGGCTTTCTCTACCAAGACAAATCTAACTTACAGATGACAGCCCAATAAAGGTGCTAAATGTCTATCCCAAGTAGACATTCAGGGACCAGAGAAGGACCTCTGGATCTGTAGACCTAGGGGGCCCCTGGCCAAACTCCACTTGTTACTCAGTTCCCAATATGCTTTGCAAGCTTTTTCTTCCACTCTGTAGCTTATCTTTATCTCCTTAGTCTCTCTCTCTCTCCCTCTCCCTCCCTCTCTCTCTCTCTCTCTCTCTCTCTTTTCAGTTGTGGGGCTTGAACTCTAGGCCTGGGCACCATCCCTCAGCTCTTCAGCTCAAGGCGAGTACTCTACCACTTGAGCCACAGCACCATTTACAGTTCTCTGGTGCTTTATTAGAGATAAGAGTCTCATGGACTTTCCTTTCCCGGGCTGGTTTTGAACTGCAATCCTCAGATCTCAGCCTCCTGAGTAGCTAGGATTACAGTGAGCCACTGGCACCCGGCTCTCTTTTGAAGAGCAAAATAATTGAATTTTGATGCACCCCAGTTGATCAATTTGTTCTTTTGTTCTTTCTATGAAATCCCTGCCAAATCAAAGGTTTCCAAGGATTTCTCCTGAGTTTTCTCCTAGAAGTTTATAGTTTTAGGATTTATGTCTGCGTCTATGAAATATTTTGAGTTTGTGTGCATGGTATGAATATGAACTGAAATCTATTAGTTATTAAGAAAATGAAAATTAAAATCAAGATGAGAGGCCATCATCTACCTCTTAGAATGGTTAAAATACCAAGCAGGTTAACGTAGTCCTTGCTGTTTGATGAGCATGCAATGGACTTGGAACGCTATAGTAATCAGTGAAAATGTGTAGTTATGCAGTGATGCTGGAAAACAACTTGTCTGATTCTTGAGTAATTAAGACACACAACTATCATATCAGGAGTAGCCATGCTACTCTTAAGGGTTTTTTTTTTGGGGGTGGGGCCTGGTCCTGGAGCTTGAACTCAGGGCCTGGGTGCTGTCCTTGAGCTTCTCTTGCTCAGGGCAAGCACTCTACCACTTTAGCCACAGCATCACTTCTAGCTTTTTATGAGTGGTTAATTGGAGATGAGTCCCATGGGCTTTCCTGCCTCAGATGTCAGCCTCCTGAGTAGGTAGGATTGCAGGTGAAACTCTTAGGTTTTATCTATGAGAAATGAAGGCATATGTCCATACAGAGACTTACTTGTACAAACTGGTTCAGTGCAGCTTTATGTAATATTCGAAAACTGGAAATAGCACATCATCATCAACACATGAGTGGATACAGCGGTACAGTCAAGCAGCAGAATACTGCTTAGTGATAAAAAGAAATGAACTATTGGTACCCCATTGATGGACCTTAAAATAATTATAGTGAATGAAAGAAGCAAGACAAAAAACAGCATGGCATTGTGGAGTTGTTTTTTTTTTTATAACTCTAGAAAATGCAAACTAACCTATACTGAAAATGAACGTTTATTAGTGTATCATTGATAATTAGCAAGTAGAACAAAACAATAAAAATATCCTCTATATCAGTAGCTTTGTGCTGCAATGAGATCCCTGAGGTAACTAACTTTATAAAGAGAAAAGGTAGATTTACCTCCGTTTTAGAGGTTCCATTGTGGTGAGTGAGGGTCTTGGTTATGGTGAGGGTCTCATAGCAGTGTGGACAGGAATGCAGGAGCATCAGCTGGAGCAAGCAATCACATCTTGACCCAAAAGCAGTGAGGAGGGGAACAGGCTTGCTCTTTCTATCACAACCCTCTCAGGAGAACTGCCCGAGAAATACTTTCAGGTCCTCAGCTACTACAGACCTGCTGCAGGGCCCTACCTCCCAAAGGCCCATCTCCTCCCAATAGTGCCACTGGTGAGGAGTAAGACTTGACTTGCAAAAATACTATCAAACTGCAGTATCCGCTTACCTTTCAATTTAGTCCATTTACACGTTGTTAGAGATTTAAAAAGTGGATCTCTTTATTGTTCTGTCTTAAATCCTAAAAGTCAATTGTGATAAAATAAAATCTGATAAAGTGGGCCTGGCCATATTGCCTCTTACCCACTGAGGATTTGTTTCAATTCTGCAGTGTCCAACAGGATTAACATTACAGAGTTCTGGTCACCCTTCATGGAGCTTCCTATGTACTCTCATCTTTTCCATGGCTTTTAAAGGTCCTTTATTTCCATTTTGCAGGTGGAAAAACAAAACTGAGTCTTAACAGGGTGCCAAAGGCTCATGCTTGTAATCCTACTTACTCAGAAGACTGATATCAGACAATTTCGGCTTGAAGCCAGCCCAGGCAGGAAATTCTGTGAGAGTATACCTCTAATTAACCAGCAAAGCCAGAGTGGAGGTGTGGCTCAAGTGGTAGTACATCAGCCTTGAGTGCAAAAGCCAAGGGGCAGCGCCCACTCCCTGAGGTTCAAGCCCCAGTTCACACACACGCGCGCGCGCGCACACACACACGCACTGAGACTCAGGGAAGTTACAGGGGTATTAGCTCAAGGTCCATGTTTGTACATGATGGCAACTCAAGAGAGGTTGAGTGTGAGTGAGGCTGATATTCACCAACAGAGCCTTGCCTCTGTGTGTGTGTGTGTGTATGTGTGTGTGTATGTGTGTGTGTGTATGTGTGTGTGTGTATGTGTGTGTGTGTATGTGTGTGTATGTGTGTGTGTGTGTGTGTGTGTGTATGTGTGTGTGTGTTGATACTGGGGCTTGAACTTAGGGCCTGGGCACTGTCCCTGAGCTTTTGCACTCAAAACTTGCCACAACTCCACGTCCAGCTTTTTGGTGGCTCATTGGAGATAAGGTTCAAGGTGTTTTCTGCCCAGGCTGACATGGAACCACTTATTCAGAGCTCAGCCTCCTGAGTCGCTAAGATGAAAGGTCTGAGTCTCTGGTGGGCGGTTTTGCACCGGTGCGTGGGGGAGAGGCCTGGAGGGCCTCCCGAGATGTGGAGCCCAGGATTTACCTCCTGGGCCCTAGCAAAGCCTGCTCCCGGGCCCCTCTCACGCTCCGCCCCTTGCCTCGCACCACCGATAGCGAAGACGCGTTCGGCGTCTCGGCGCTCGCTCGCTCAGGTCTGGCTGGCTGCAGCGTCGGCGTCGGGCGGGACGCGGGTCCCGGCGCTGTGGGCGGGGTGGCGGCGGCATGGAAGGGCCGCGGGCCGCTGCGGGCGGGGACGTGTCCCTGCACAACTTCAGCGCGAGGCTGTGGGAGCAGCTCGTCCACTTCCACGTCATGCGGCTGACGGACTCGCTCTTCCTGTGGGTGGGGGCCACGCCTCACTTGCGCAGCCTGGCCGTGGCCATGTGCAGCCGCTACGTGAGTGCGGGTCGGGGAGTGGGAAGGGCCGGGAATGGGGAGGGGAATGCGCACCGTTGGGGGTAGGGGAGGGCTGGCGGAGTGGAGGCCGCGGACCCGGGTTGCTCAGGGCACTTCCGGCACCTCTGTCCGGGAGCCCGCGCGGGCTCCAGGCCCCGCCCCGCCCAGGCCCAGGCCCCGCCCCAGGGACCGCCCCGCCCCAGGCCCAAGCCCCGCCCCAGGGACCGCCCCGCCCCAGGCCCAAGCCCCGCCCCAGGCCCAAGCCCCGCCCCAGGCCCAAGCCCCGCCCCAGGCCCAAGCCCCGCCCCAGGCCCAAGCCCCGCCCCAGGCCCCGCCCCCGCCCACAGGGACCGCCCCCTCCAAGCCCGCCCTTCCTTTCTCCTCTCAGACTGTCAGCCTCTCCTTCATCCTCCAGAAATGCCCTCCACCTCCTACCCCCACACCGCCTCACTTTGACCCTGCGAATATTTGCTTCCAGCTCCTGTACAGACAACTTCCTTCCGCGCCCTCACTACCCCCATCACACTGAACTTGGGGCTCCTGTATCTTCTCTTAGATGTCTACTAGTCAGACAAACTCTGGACCAAACTTGATCTCTCCTCTAGGCTGCTGCCCCTGCGGCCAGTCCTCTGTCGTGGCAGCTCCTTTGCCGTTGCTCTGGTGGTCCTCCATCCTTTCACAGTCCACGTGCCCAAGGCTTTGTTTGGCTCTGCTGTCCATGAAAACAAATGGGGAGTACACCTCTCCTTCTCACATGGCTGCCACCGACATGTCTGAGCCCCTCCTCGCCCCATATCCCCTTCCCCATTGTTGTATGCAATTTCCTAGGGCTCTAGTATAAACTGGGTGTTAAAACAAAAGGGGATTTGCCCTGTCACTGTTCTGGATGCCAGAAATCCAAAGTTCATGTGTGTCACTCTAGTGACAAAACCATCCATCTTCAGGTGGTGACTTGGAACCCTTCCTATTCCTAGTCTTATAGATGGTTCCCAGATTTCTGCCTTGACATAATGTGGCCACCTTTTCCCTTTGTGTCACTTGGTTTCCTCTCCTTTCCTCTATTTTTACAGTGCTAGGGATTGAACCAGGGTTGCTACATGCTAGGCAAGTGCTTTCTCCTTGAGTTTACACTCCCAGCCCTCTCTCTTGTGAGAACATAAGTCATGCTGGATATGATTTTCTCCCCCTCTTCCTGCCCCCCCTCTTTCTCTCAGGTACTGGGGCTAGCAGGCTGCCATTTGAACTACAACTCCACTTCTGGCTTTTTACTGGTTAATTGGAGAGATAAGAGTCTCACAGACTTTCTCTCTGCCTCCTGGGTAGCTAGGATTACAGGCATAAGCCACCAGTGCCTAGCTTAATTTGCATCTTAATTATGTTTGCTAAGATGGTATTTCTAAATTCATATTCATAGTCATATAAACATAACTTTTAGGGAACACAGCTTATCTACATTATGTGTGGCCTTAGTAGCACTGAGTAGCACAGTGACAGTTTTAAGTCAGGTCAGGGCTTGTTGCTTCTTAGCATTCTTTGCTCATTTATTCCTTTAGCCCTGACTTCCTTTGCAGATCATTGTTCCAGAATGAGACCGGTCTGTTTACCAATGTCTGTTTTCTTTGCACCTACTGGGTACTTATCAGTCATTGTGAAGTATTTGAGTGAGGCTCCTGGAGCCTGTGGCAGTCAGGGCCTAAGGACTGCAGTGGTGGGGAGTCACATCAGTGAGTGTTCAGATTTCTATCACAGAGAACATCTGAATTAGTCCTGATGTCCTTATCTGATAGTCCTCTGCCACTTCATTCTTGCAGTTCTTTACTTGGTGTTTTTTTGTTTTCTGGTGAGTCTTGGCAGGTGAGCCTTTGGGCAGATGGTAAGTTTATTGGGAGAAGGACCAGTTTGGATCAGGATGACTGGTGGTCTTGAGACTAGTAATAGATGGTGGGGGAAGATTGTAGCCACCTAGAGGCCAGGACCATGTGCTGCTAAGACCTGAACTGTTTCAATCCCCTTTTGCAGACTGGTTTGGGGAATACCTAATTCACCTCCTCTTGTGGGCTGCTTTGGTGATCTGATCACCTGGGCATCATAGCTCCAGCAGGCATGTTTTCGGACTAGAAGGTAAAGCCCTTGTCAGAAGCCCATTCCCACTTGGTGACCACATTAGTTCTTGGCAGAGGACCAGCAAGGGAAAAAGAGGTATACCATGGTACTGTGGAGTACGTAATTGTCAAGTATCCTGCAGGCCAGTCTTCCATCTACTTTTGTATTGACATTTTATTCTTTCCCCCCCCTTTTTTTTTGTAATAAAGTTTTATTGGAATAGGGCCTTATTCATCCATGCATGTAGTCTTCAGCAGGTTTTGTGCTTTGATGGTAGGATTGAACCATTGGAATAGAGACCTTGTGGGCTGTAAAGCCTCAACTGTCTGATACCTTGCCTGTGTATGGAGGAGGATAGCATCAGAAGATCTGTGATGCCTCCCTCTCCAGCCCCAAACCTAGATAAGACCATAGCGAGTAGAGATAGAGCTGCTTCATCAGCTGGCTTGCCTTGGCTGGAGTGAGGTTTTGCTGTCAAGAGAGGCTGCAGAACTCAGATGTAAGCCTGAGCAGCCTGAGGGTGGCTGCTCTGGGACCTAGGATATCTCTGACCTTATGCAAGGAGTGGAATTTGGTACTGACACCAGAGCAGAAGTGTCTGAGCATGTGTCTGCTGGGATACCACTGTCCCATTTGGGAATAGTGATTTGTTTAGAATAGGAACAGATGGGGTTTAACATTTTTATTTTTGATGGAAAAAATCCACTTGGTAAGGTAGATTTACTTTTTTTTTGAGGAAGTTTAACCATGAATACTGTAGCAGTACAACTAAGTGTTGAACTTGGACTCGCTGAGCAATAGGTTCATTAGTTAATGCCATACTTTTGTACCTTTTTGACCAAAAAAATTGTGTTTTTGATTTCCCAAACCCTTAGGATACTAGGTGCAGTCTCTGGTCTGTGCTCGGCCATCTCCATCTGGACATAGGATAGCAGCACCAAAACCTAGATTCTCTATATGTCTACAGTCTTCTCCACTGACTAGTTCTCCCAGGGCTTTGTGCTTAAGATGTATTTACTATAAGTTTGCTGACTCCCTCTACCTTCCAGCCTAGGGCCTCATGCTTATTATATAAATATGTAATATGAGCTATGCCTACAGCCCCATACCTCCATCCCCTTAACCTTTGTTTTTTTAAAATTTTGCTACCTTCACCTTGGTTGGCCTCAGATGTTTCCTGTTTCTTGAATAGCTGGGGATTAAAAGCACTTGCTACCATGTTCAGCTAAAGATCTATTATTTTGATATTTGGCTATATTGCAAGTTAGTGAGTAGAGTTTTTCCTTCCAAGGTAGGCATTTTTAATGGTGAGGGATATTACTCCCAAAATAATTGAGAGTAAGATTTGTCAAGCCGGGTGCTGGTGGATCATGCCTGTAATTCTAGCTGAGATCTGAGGATCGTGGTTCAAAGCCAGCCGGGGCAGGAAAAGTCCATGAGACTCTTTATCTCCAATAAACCACTCAGAAAACTGGAAGTGGCGCTGTGACTCAAGTGGTAGAGTGCTCGCCTTGAGCTGAAGAGCTGAGGGACAAGTGCGCAGGCCCAGAGTTCAAGCCCTGTGACGGAAAAAAAAAAAAAAAAAAGACCAGATTTCCGAAGGGCCACATTGATTTATCTTAACATCATTTCTACTGTTTGTTTTATTCTTATCTGAAATGAGATTGGCCTAGTCTAATCAGAAGTCTTTCTGTTCAGAATGCTCTTGCCTGATGTCCTTTCTCAGTCATAGGCAGTTATTGTCCTTTAAGAGCCCAAATGAACAAGAGGACTGGAGCTGTGTGTTCTTACAGTCGTCATGAGATCAGGCATCCTGCCTCTCAGTTGAGGACCTGGCCTGGGGCACCTGGACTCTTATGATTGGCTTTCTCTTTGCTGTGGTTTTAATGATCTTGTTTGCTTTCTTCTTGGTTGGAATGTTGCCCTTCAGAATATTGCCCATTGGAGTTTCCGACATTAAAACAAGTCCTTTATGTGAATTCAGGCCTAGAACTAATGAATAGGCATGTGGTTCCAGCTTCAGGTGGCTCCTCTTTGTTTGTCCCAGTTCTATTCACCTTTTATGTTGGGGTGACCCTGCCTGACTGTTGGCAGATTAGAGCCCTTCTTCCCAGGGGCCTCTTAAGAATCTGCTTATACCACCCTTGGGGCAACAGAAGCTACAGAAATGTGGCTGGTTGCACCCACGTGGAGAAGCTGTAGTATGTTGTTTGTTTTTCTTGTAGGACTCCATCCCTGTGTGCACCTCTCTCTTTGGAGACACCTCTGACACGACCTCTACTGGCCTGGCCCAACGCCTAGGTATGTACCTATGGCTGGTGCTGAGACCAGCCAGGTGGGATCCACCTGCTTACTTCAGAAGTAAGGAGCCCTCTTGCAGTGCTGTTGGAAGCACAGACCAGTGTGCACCGATCTTATTTACTGGGCACTTTTGTGCTCCCCTGTCCCCACTGTCTCAAGCCAGTACATTCCTGCCTAATTCCCTTGTCCTTCTTGGCTTTACCTTTGAGGTAAAGGCACTCCAATGAGTGCCTCATCTCCTTATGGAAGGAGAGTGAATATTACCCACAGTGCCCTAGGGCAGCTGTTCAAGATGGCTCCTGAGCCTCATGGGACTTTGGTGGAGCTGTGGGCAGGTGTCACCAGTGTGCAGAAAGGACCATCTGTCAGTCTCTGTGTGGTGACCAGAGGTTGGTGGGAGACTGGCCTAGTAGCCTTTCAGTGTGGAGTAGTGTAGGGTCTGGTGGTGCTTAGTGTGGTGGCATCATACAAAGAATATGAAGTGAAGGTTCTCCATGCTCCTGCACCCGAGACACTACTTCCATAAATATGTAGGAGTTTAGGTAAGAATGGCTTGTGTTTTGTCATCACTAGCATGGAGTGAGTGCCTTGGTATTCTTGGTTCCTAGGCAGTTGAGTAATAGAGTTAGTCTTGGGATCCCTAGTATCCTCAGGAGATAGGAAGGGAAGGAGCCCAGTTCCTGGTTTTAAGGTGTTCATATCTCACTTTGGTGCTGTACAAAGGGAGCGCTGTTGTCCTGACAAGTAGGGACGTTCCTCTCAGGCGCTGGAGGCCCATGCGTGTGAATGGACTATAAAGCGAGGAGGAACACCACCAGCTGGTGAAGGCAGGCCAGTGTCACCAGCCATCCCAGCTTCTCACGCTGCCATGGTAGAGGTCAGGGAGGGCAGAGGTCAACGTTTTAGCAACTTGCAAGGTAGCTTGGAATCAAACCTGATGAATTAAGTTTTTTGGTAACTTGTTTTTTTTGGGGGGGGGGGTCCGGTCGTGGGGCCTGAAATCTGGGCCTGGGCGCTGTCCCTCAGCTCTTCAGCTCAAGGCTAGCGCTCTACCACTTGAGCCACAGAGCCACTTCCCGGCTTTTTTCTTTTTGCTTATGTGGTGCTGAGGAATTGAACCCAGGGCCTCATGCATGCAAGGCAAGCACTCTACCACTGAGCCACCTTCCCAGCCCCTGGTAACTTGTTTTTAAGAAGTAATTTCAAATTTACAGGAAAGAATTCCTGGGTTATTTAGAGTACAAGTTGTCTACCTCTGTCTGTTTACATCATTTGTTTTCTTTGAATCATGTGAAAGTCACTTGGAGACATGGTGCCTCTTCTAAGTGCTTCATTGAATATTTCCCCAGGATTAGAGGGCAGCATGCCAAAGAGACCACTGTGTGCCCATGTCCTCAGAAAAAGTCATGGTGAAGTGTGCATAGTTATGGAGACAGGATGCTGGGTGGGTATCAACCAACAGACCCAGACAGGAGGAAGAGGATGACAGGCGTTGGTCTGATATGCTGCAAAAAAGCCTTAATACAAAAAGCATAAAGTGTGCTCAAGAATATCCAAGAGATGGAGGCCTAATACCAACTTGTATGCAAACCCCAAGCAGTTCTCAGTTACTCAGGTCACTGGCTACCAGTTTCTCCAAAGGGTTTGGTACCTACCACCCAGTGAGTCCTCAGCTGTGCCCGGCCTCAAGCCTGGAGATGCAGCACTAATGCATTCTGATGGGAAGGGAGAAGTGTCCTGCACAGCTTCTTTTACGGAAGATGAAAGCAGACAGGGGACGTTCCAAGTCACCCTGGAAACATCTCAGCTTCTGTGTGGAGACCCTGTATTCTTGTGGTCTTGGAGGCAGAGTTGGATCTGGGAGGATGCTGCCACAGTAGTGGCTTGACTCTCTGGGAAGGCCTGCCTTAGCAAGTCTAGTGATTGGAATCAAAGTGGGCTCTGAGAGGGCAGGCTGAGCAGGGTATGACCTGATGGTTGTTCCAGCTAGCCTTTGTGGGACCCTCTGCAGTGCCAAGATCATTGTTTAACTGTCCTGCACCTAGAGGATAGTGAGATTGGTGAGACACTATGGAGGAGACTTATGCCCTGCTCCCCTATCCCACAGCCAATTAGATCAGTCCAGGCACAGCTGTCCCCTTTGTGGATATCCTGCATGTAACAAGCTGACAAGAGACTCTGCTCCAAGTTCTATGAGCAGTTCCTAAAACACCGGCTTTCATAACTGAATAACTGTATCTGTCCATTCAGATACATTCCCTTTGTTAAGAATAACAGCTTTATTGAGATGTAATCTACCTGCCATACAATTCACTCAGCTGTCCTCAAGGCTGTGGCTGGGCTCATCCTTTCACTCTGCACAGTTATGTCAGCTACCCATTCAATGAGGCATTATCTAAGTTCTCCTGTAACCCCCCAAACCTCATTGTTTTCAGTAGCTGAGAAAAATACCTTTAAGATCCAAAGGTTGATTTGTAGAAGAGGAATTGAAGCCCAAAGAACTTTCTAGATTGTGATGGGGCTGAGAGGCCCTCACCTGAAGCTGATTCAGCTCCTGTTCCATGTGCCACATTGCCTCCCATGTTATCTAGTGAGACTGATGGTAAGACAGCCACCAAGAGGACAGAATTCACACCAGGGTGTAATCCTGTGGTGTGTATTCTATACTACCTTCTAGCTTCTTACCACATTGACTTTCTGCCTATGGATGAGCGATGGCTCTGGGGGGAGGGTGGAGTCCATGCCTCAGTAGGTGAGTAGGAATTTCTGCACCTTCCCTGAGCATGGGTGTGGTCAAGGAAGGAGGCCCCAGTCTTGGTCCAGGCACAATTGAATTGGCTTAGGCTTATTACTTACTCTTCTTGTTTTGTTGTTTCTGGCCTTGACTAACTGGTTTTAATTAACACTGAATGTTAGTCATATGTGCATATATATATATATATATATATATATATATATACACACACTCACATATACATACATGTACATGCATAGATATATATATGTTCTCCTCCAGGCAGAGATTGGAATTGGAATGGAACCTGGTATTAGTGAAAGAGACCAACTTTAACATTTCATTTTAAATATGTTAGCATATTAGGTGTTTTTAGAAACAAAGCCTACAAAACTCCAAAGCACAAAAGCCAGTGTAGAGCAGAAGACTTGAGAGGACTTGTTAACACTGATTGTTGGGCTGAACACTGGAGGACTTGTTAACATTGATTGCTGGGCTGAACCCAGCTTTCTGATGTAGAAGGTCTGGATGGGCCTTAGAATCTGCTTCTCTCAGCAAGCTCCCACTAATGCTGCTAATGTGGTGCCCACACAAAAAATCTAGGGCTCAAGAACCTAAGATAGGTGCTAAGTAACATCTATTTGAATGAACAGCACCAGGAAGAGTTAGAAAGTAGAATTCTTTTCTCTCTAAACCTTGTTTTCTCTTTCCAAGTATTTCCCAGCTGTAGGCAGGTGTGAGGAAAGAAACCCTGTGGTGTTTCTGTGATGGTTTTGTCAATGTTTCTCTCTTTTTAGCCAGGAAGACCAACAAACAGGTGTTTGTCAGCTATAACCTTCAAAACACAGACAGTAACTTCGCGTTACTTGTAGAAAACAGGATCAAGGAAGAAATGGAGGCTTTTCCGGAAAAGTTCTGAGTGGCAGAAGGGAGAATTTATAACTTATGTTCAATGTACATTTAAATAAATGGATTGTGCTTTTGTTATCAGGCTGTGTTTATACTTCATTTAAAGGGTTTATCTTGAGCTGGGAGTATAGCTCAAGCGGTAGAATTTAGCAAGTGTAAACCTTGTTCAAACCCTAGTATTACTGAAAAAGTAAAACCCCAAATAAATAGTTCATCTTAAGGGCTTTCCCTTTCCTCTGTCAGTGAACCAGAATGTGCTGATAGGCTGGGGAAGAAGGAAAGCAAGGGGTAGCAAACATTTGACTACTCAGTGGGGGCAAATGGGGCTTTGTGGCAATTGAAGGGTGCAACATAATGCAGAGTTTCAATCAGTTGTGACTTATGTACAGTCCCAATTAGAGCTGAAGTTAGTATCTTTATAAATATGTTCTAGTGATTGGGGGTAATGGCTTGAGTGTTAGAGGCCTAACTAACAAGCACGAGGCCTTGACCCAACCCGTGGCCCCTTTCCCTCCCCAAAAATACACTTTAGGTTTTCTGTGCTTTTCTCAGGTTTCTGTCTGCCTCTCATGAAGATGTGTTTTCCCATCAATTTTAGCTAACCCTGTCTCTTGGGCACTTCTTACTATGTTCTCCATGTGCTCTTTCCCTGGGCTGTTTCCTGCTAGGAATAGGGCTCCTCCGAGGAGTGCATGGTGGATGTCTGAGGTTAGGAGCCTCTGCAGCCTTCCCATGCTAGCCTCGAAGGCCTTGGCCACCGTTTCCACAGTTTGGGAAGCACAGTGGGCCCCTTTCTAGGATAGAATAGTAAGTGACACAAAATCAGGGCTATAGAGAGAAGAGTTTGGTATAAATACTTTATTAAAGAAATATTTTCTTGTTAAAAAATACTACATTGAGAAGAGTTTGGGGTTATCAGTCTTTCCTCACAGAATCACAGTGTAAGATAGTCATTTCTTAACCTCTCTAGGCTCTTTCACGGATTAGCAGAACATAAATGAGAAAAAAATTCCTCTTAAATGTATTGAATTCTCAGGTGGGCTGAGAATGGCACTAGATAAAACAGTTTGTGTTTAGTCCCACCTCTCCGCTTCTGCCTGCCTTTTAAGACTAGGACTTTAAAGCAGAGTGACAGCTCCCTCTCCCACCCCATCCCCCAGGCTAGTGGACAGTTTACAGAGGCGTTGAAAGTAGTGACTCAGTGAACTCTGAATCAACATGGAGGACTTTATTACTCTTCATCAATGGTAGTGAAATGCCCTTCGCTGGATACCATCAGGTGAGGTAGGGAAGACATTCCAGAGGAAATCTGTTAATGGGGCAACATTTTTATTTCTGTACATTTACATACGAATTTTCCCCAAAGGTACAACAGAGGCAACACCATGCAGACAGGTAGCTGTGAATGACAGTTCAGAACTCAGTGTAGCTTGTGCTATGAACAAGTACCGCCGGAGGAAGCCCCGTGGACATGTACAGTAACATGGTTCCTAGAGTCAAACCTCACAAGGTTGGGGTGCAGAGGGACAGAGGTAGGGAAGCGTTCCTTATTTGACACGACACACTGTACTGCTTTCCCAACACACACACAATACATTACAGTGAGGTGGTGGTCTTCAAGACAGTTGAATCGTGGGCCTCCCCAGCCTGAGGGCCCCAGGGCTGGGCAGTGTGACAGTTATAAGATGCACTGAGTGGCACTTCCAGTTCAGGGGTCTCCCATGTGGCTCTGGGAAGTGGGCATGTTTGAGTGGGATCCTTCCCCTATGAGGTCTGATTTGATGCTTACCGTTCTGTGGTCAGACCCACTCACTAGCTGTGTCTTCCAGCTGCCGGTGATTACAGTCTTGGAAAACATTTAACCCCTTTTCCTGTTTGAGTGCTAATAACTACGGTATTTGATAAGAGTTATTACTGACTTCTGGAAAAGAATAAGAAATAACCCCATCTCCGGTGTTCACATTTGTGCATAACTTATTAAAGGGTTTGCAGGGTATAGGGATGGGTGGTGAGAGCAGCAGGGTACCTTCCCACGTTTCCCCAGGGGATGAGAGGGCAAAACAGAAAGGGAATGTGCCTGAGATGAGTCTCTTCTAGAAATCCAGGAGGGACATTGGACCAAGAAGCTCAATATAGGCTGGTGCTAGGGAGCTGGGGCTCAGACCTCCCTGTGGGGCCAGGCAGGTTTGTCCTGTCTCCGGCCTGGGTGCCCTCCTGCCTTTCTGCCTTGGTATGGGCTTTGCAGTGCTCCCATAGGGAAGCATTCTTTTTCTGACTGTATCTCATACAGGTGTTCCTCAAGAGCTTCAACTACCCTTAAGCTGTAGGAGCTCAGACTTACCCCTAGCTTTCCCCCACAGGGTTCTGCCTGCTGAGATCTTCCTGCACCTTTGCTAGACTGGGCCCTGCCCCAGGTCCCAGAGCCAGCTGTTTACAGTCACTAATAGGTTCGCCTTGATTGCTGAAGTGCTTAGCAGTGGTCTTCACTGGCCCAGTTTTTGTTGTTGTTTTTTTTCCATTGTCACTTGAGGTGGAAAAGTTTAGAAGTGCTATACCTTGACACCACATTCTTGTGATTTCGGCAGCATTCTGTAGCTTCCATACATTGCTTTATAAAGCACTGAACGACCAGTGTGAGATTGCTCACAACTTCTGTATATGTTCTGTCCTATATTTAGCTGGGTTTGCTGCCAGACGACTTGGTAGCAAGTACCCTAAAAAAAGGTAAAAGGTATTTGACAAGTTTGGCACGCAAAGGCTTGCACAGATCTAAAGAAAGGCCTTTGTAAGAGGTGAATGCAGACTGAATGGACACACAGAACAAGATGGCTTAAGAAAAAAGACCAGGGTGGGTGAAGAAGAGCTGGATTTGGAGCAGGTTTGGGGAAGGCTGGCCAGACAGCCTCCATCCCCTGTCATCTGTCCTGGAGCAAGACTGTCAGACCACAGGCATCAGATGATGAGTTGGCAAAGGCCCAGCTGCTGCAAATACAGGACTGCACGTCTGATTACTGGCCCCAGAAGGTCTTTATCAAGGCCGCGGGTTCCTGCTGATGTGTGTACCAGATGTGGAGAAGAGGTGGGTGAAACAGGAAGAAACAGACCAGGTGGAGAGCTGGAGGGGGAGAAACTCAACCCCTTTCTGGCCCTTTGAATTCTAGCAACTCATTTGAAGTCATCTAATTGGCTACACAGGCCCAAGACTGATTTCCCTGGCTGAACACAGTCCATGGCAGAGATGCATCAGAGGGGCAAGACTGATGGTTCTAGTAAGCCAACCTGTCCAGAAAAGCAGGAGCCTGAGTTGCTACAAAGCAGTGCCTGTCTGTGTGGAGAAAGCTGGTTTCTTAGCAGCCCCAGGTGTTCCACTGCCTGGGGCAAAATGAGGAACATAATCAGAACCCTGGGAGAGGGCAGCATGGGAGTTGAGCTTTGGTGAGTTATTGCTTTCTCACTTCTTGCTTCTTTCAAGAGGCTAGAGACCATGTGGACTGGACTGTGAACAATCTGCACTCCTGTCCTAGGCCCCTCTGTGCTGAGTGAGTGACAGGTGGAAGTGAAGAGGAAGACATGAGAGGATGGTTTCCTGCAGTGCTGTGGCTCTGGGATCCCGGGAGAATGCCAGCCATCTGAGCTGGTGCTCTCTGTGGTATGTGTTCCAGATGTGGGTGACAGCCACATGTGGGAGGGCAAGGCTTCCTCCTGGGATTTGCCTCAGTCATCTTTCTCAATTATTTTCCTGTTATTAAAGTTCACACAGGAGCCACATTTTCAAGTAGTGCTGGCAACAAAGTGATCGGAGGAGGGAATTTCTCTGTTGGAGCCAAATCTGGGAAGAAGTTTTAATAAAAATGAATGTCTCAGACCCCAACACATTTGCTACTTGAATATTTTTTTAAACTAAGCAAACCCGGTGTCAGAAAACTGGTGAATATTATCGCTGATCATTTTAGATTTCTGGTAAAGCATCAAGTACAAGGGATGATCCAGAAGGAATGAGGGCTAAGCTGGTTTTGATGATATCCAAGAGCTGTTTCCCCTAACATGGATGGAAACTACCCTACAAACAAAAATGGGAAAAAAAGGGACTTTACAACATACAGATTAGCAAAACACTAACTGTGTACACTTCACTGTCTCAAATGTAGTCCCCAGAATGTTCCCCAAGAGTGTTGACTGTCTAAGGTGGGTGGCCTACGTGGCGGCTCCAGGCCTGCCCAGTGAGCATTGGCGGTGCAGCTGGAGGGTGTGGAGCTGTAAGGACCTCCAGCGAGGAGGCTGGCTGCTGTGTTGGTCACTCCTGGGGTCTTCCCCAGTGACCCTGCCTCACTCCTGAAGGCTGTTCCATCTCATGATCAGTGAGAAGGAAGGGAATAAAGTGCTTCTTGTAAAAATGACCAAAATAAATACCAACATTCAATGGCAGAAAAGAAAGTCTTGAAGAATTATTTCTAGAGTCTGTTTCCTTAATCCCACTCCTTGGACATTTGGAAAGATAGAATTTCCCCACACCACTTGAAAGTCTCACAATTGGATGGTGTCAGCAGCAGAGTTGGACTTTCTTCTTCTTGCCATGGTTCTTCTCCCTGGTCTCTAAATCTGTGTCCAAACTCCCTCCAGCCTTTTGAGTCCCAGGGGACTTGCAGGATGGCAGCGGGTCTTGGCCAGCTACATGGACTTCATGCCATTGGCTGTGGCACCCTCAGGCAGCCCATCACCTGTAGCAGCTGTGTCGTGCAGGCCTGAGTAGTCCTTGAGCTCAGCATTGGTAAGCAGGAGCGGCTGCTCTCCCTTCTTGTGGGGCAGCAGCGGCTGCCTCGTGTAGTGCTCCCCATTGAAGATGTTCTCAGGCAGGTTCTGGTCCCTGCTTTCCGGCAGCAGCAGGATGCAGATAATGCAGATGAGTGTACAGCAGGCAAAGATGATGTGGTGTAAGAAGTAGCCTTTCTGGTTGTGCAGCTCGATGATGGGTGCTGTCAGCATGCCAAAGCCTGCGCTGGCCAGCACCAGCCCCAGCCCACCACACCTGCAGGGAAGGGAGGGCATAGGGTTAGTGGAGCACATGGGGCTGGTGCCTCAGCAGGCCCTGGTGCAAGCATGGTTACCAGCTCACGAGAATTCAAATACACCCCCCCCCCCCCCACACACTTTATGGAAACAGTCTTCAAATCTGTATTTATGACATTTAGAGGCAGGACTTGGGGGAATTAGGACTAGAGGCAATCAGAAGGATGAGCACTTTTGATAACATTAGTGGCTTTGCAAGGAAAGGAAGAGAGACCCATGCTAATCTATTTGCTGTGCCTTTACCATGGGGTGTTCTGTGCTACCGTAGGTCTCTACCAACAGGTGTAACCCATCACCTTTGGAACTCTCAGCTTCTAGAACCATGAGATGAATAAACCTTTGTTCTTGATTAATTATACACTTTAAGGTAATTAGTCAGCAACAGAAAACAGATGGAGACACAGGAGATTGGTACAACACCGCATATTCCACAGGTGGGACCTCATAGGCCACATTCCTCTTTTGCTGTATCGGTGGACCACTGCAGCTCCGAACACATTAAACAACAAAACCCAGGACATGTCCCTGGTTCCCAGGCCTCACTGTGGACAGGCAGAGATGGTTTTATCTTCAGCAGCATGAGGTGAGTTGTCAGCCTAATCTCAGAGTAGTGGGTAAAAGACACAGGAATGTAGACTTCAGTTGGTTTAAGGAATCCCTTTCTAATGGAGCTGCTCAAACCACCTTTGAATGACAAAGGAACTTTTGTCTTTGTTATATGAGTCAGAGTAGAATAAAGGGGAAGTCCCTGCAGGTTGCTGGTTTAGAGTTCCAGTACTTGACTAAGTGGCTCTTAACTCAAAAAAAGGCTTTCCTACAAACTCAAAATATACAATCAACATAAAGGGCAACTGCTGCCTACCTGTTAGCAACAGACTACTCAAACATGAAAATTTAAAAACAAAATTAAAATGCTTATAAATAGTAAAAGGTGTGGCATGATGACTTACATCTGTCATCCTAGATACTTAGGAGGTAGAGATTAGGAGGATCAAGATTCTAGGTCAGCCATGCAAAAGATTAGCAAGACCTCATAAGAACCAATTAAAAAAGAAGCTGGGCATTTTGGACTGTGCTTGTCATCCCAGTTGTGAGGAAAGTGTAAACAAGATCTCTGTCTTTAGTCTGGCTTGATGTTATTTGAAATATAAAGCAACAAGGGTTGGATGTGTGGCTCAAGTGCTAGAGTACCTGCTTGGTCCCTGAGTTCAAACTCTTAGTACTGCCAAAAAGAAAAAAAGAATTGTGCAGATCACAGTCCTTGTCAAGTTGAGGTATAGATTCAACACAAGCCCAATTAAACTTATTTGATTTTTTCCATTTGAGAAAATTATAAGCTGATCTCAGAATTCAAATGGAAATATAAAGGGCCCCAAATAGCCAAAAACTATTTTGAAAAAGACCAAAGTTGCAAGACCATATATCTACAGAAAGACCCATGGATACAACTAGGAGTTCAGAAACAAAGTGGCTCCCCACCTCCCCTCCTTGGTGCTTGGGATGACTCTCAGTACTACTTGAAACATTAAACAACTGCCACTCAAGTTATGCACTCAGCCACAGACAACCTTTTACACTGATTTTTGACAAAGGCAAACTCAGTAGGGGAAAGAGTAGTTTTTTTCAATCAGCAGTGTTAGCACAAGGCGTTCACATGCAAAGGATGAAGCTGCACCTGTCCTTTACACTTCACGTCACATACAAAAATGAACTCAAGATGGATTTAAGAACCTGAGTGAAAGCTCAAACACTTCCAGAAAAACATCAAAAATCCTTGTGACTTAAATTTAATCAGGCATATCAGGCAGGATTTAATAAAAAATTAAAAATTTCGGGCTGGGAAGGTGGCTCAGTGGTAGAGCGCTTGCCTTGCATGCTTGAGGCCCTGGGTTCCATTCCTCAGCACCACATAAGCAAAAAGAAAAAAGCCGGAAGTGGCGCTGTGGCTCAAGTGGTAGAGCGCTAGCCTTGAGCTGAAGAGCTGAGGGATAGCGCCCAGGCCCAGAGTTCAGGCCCCACGACCGGACCAAAAAAAGAAAAAAAAATTAAAAATTTCTACCCTTCTATTTTTCTCATGGAAAGCAGGAAATGTTTCTTCTCCCTACTTTCTCCTGTTTTACTGAAAATAAACCATCGATGAGACTCCTGTTTATGAGTCATTCTGAAATGCTTTTCTGAGTGGAACTCTCCAGGACCCCCGCATTTCTGTGCAAACTGGGAAACAGAGGGAAACCTCTCATCCATCCTCCAGTGACAGAAATTGTCCTGCCTGAGTCAGAGTTTAGTCTTGCAAGGGCTCCACGGTAATGGCTGTTGATGAAACCATAAAGATCAAAAGATTCACTACTCTCCTAATTTACAGACAGAATGGCTCCTAGGTCAGGCCCCTCTCCCACAGCCCTCTCCTCCTCTATGGACACTTTGTATTTATTCTAGAAAGGAAATTGTCAGTAAGCCTTCTGAATCTTGAATCATTTTACAAAGTCTGGCAGAGATTTCTTCAGGATGTGTACAAGCATCATCACAATACAGCCCTGGCCTATTGGAGCATATTTGGAGCCACCATCCTTGATCTTTTTCCTCCTGAACACTTAACTATTGTAATCTCCAATAGTCATTGTGAATCTTACAGTAAATGCTGCAAGCACTAAAGAAACGGGTGCAAAGTAACCAACTGATCACCTAGTATGTACCAAGAATTAAAATGAGGAAAAAAGGATTGGGAGTAAAGAAAGGCACTTCATATCCTCACATGCTCTTGGCTTACCTTTAAAAAATATAAAAAGATACATGCGTCAGAAAAGGAAAAGACAGGCCGTGGTCTCAGAAAAATGTTTGCAAAGCATGTATCTGGTAAAGGACGTATTCAGACTTATACAGAAGTATGTAAAGAACTCAAACAGAAGACTACACAATTAAAAAAATGGGCAAAAGATCTTTGTCCAAAGGAACTATATGAAGTATAAATATCCAGTAAGACACAAGAAGATATATAACACCATTAATGAGAAATGCAAATCAAAACCACAAGATAACACTGCACACATGCTAGGAAACTCAAACAATAAAATATTGGTGAGAATGTGGGGAAACTAGGATTCATAGAGTTTTCATATACCCGTGCTGCTAGTAGGACTCTAAATACTGCAGCTACCTTGAACAATTTTTTATTGAAGGATAATTTGGGAAAAAAGCTAATTAACCCAACAGTCTGGGTGTTGGTAACATATGATTGTGGTCTCAGCTAAGAGGGAAATGTAGGTAGGAGGATTATGGTCTGAGGCTGGACCTGGGCCAAAATTTGAGACCATACTTGAAATATAACTAAAGGGCTGAGGGTATGACTCAGATGGTGATCGAACACTGTCTAGAAAAGCACAAGGCCTTGAGTTCAAACCCTAAGATGGCTTAGTGGTAGAGTGCTTGCCTTGCATGCATGAAGCCCTGGGTTTGATTCCTCAGTACCACATAAACGAAGAAGCTGGAAGTAGTGATATGGCTCAAGTGGTAGAGTGCTAGCCTTGAGCAAAAAGCAGCTCAGGAACAGTGCCCAGGCCCTGAGTTTAAGCCCCAGGACTGGCAAAAAATAAAACAAACAAAAAAAAAAGTACTGAAAAAGAAAGGAAAAAAATTAAGCATCTGTATAACCAGCAATTCCATATATGAAGTAAAATATATACTCATAAAACACAAGCTAATGTTTATTGCAGCATTCTTCATAATAGCAATACTTGGAAATTATGCAAGTGTTTATCAGCTAGTGAATGGGTAAATGAAACATGGTCTATCCTAGGCAACGGAGTATAACTCAGCTAGGAATGAAGCAGTGACACATGCTACACTATGGAAACATTACGCTAAATGATTGTGTGATTCCATTTGTATATAGTGTCAAGAAGGCCAATCTATAGAGAGGGAATGCAGATTAGTGACTGTCTGGGACTGGAAGAGAGGACAGAAACTTGCTTATAGATGGTATGGGATGGGGTATTGTGGAGATGGAAATTGGACTGTGGTGATGGCAGCACACTGCTATAAAAGTACTAAGTTACTGACTAAACTTCAAATGGGTGAATTTATGGTATGTCAATGATATCTTAATAAAGCTGTTACCACCCTGCCCCCACACTGTTCCTGTTGTGGGGATTGGGCCTCCTCTTGGTACAAATGCCCATTAGTCTGGGGCAGTTGCCTGGTCACCTTGTCTTCCCTTTCCATAGCCATCATGACTGCCTAGGCCTGGGTTTTTTTCCATGGCATGGAGCAGCCTGTTCCCAGGGCTCTAGATCTTCTTCCACTTGCTTGCAAGGGGCTAGACCAGTCCTGGCTGAAGGGGATATTACTGGGTGCACTTGGTCCTGCACAGGTGCTTTGTTGGGCTCCTGGCTCTAGGTCAGCATTGTGGAGTCCAGCTGAGCAAGCTGCAGAGTGGCTTCTACCCACAGCACTGCCCAACTCACTGTGTCTAACAACTTAAGAGGCTTTCAAGAGTGGGACCTTTAGTCTTCGTCTTCGGTCTCTACCATTAACCTCAGTGCCTGAGATCTGACTGGCATGCAGGCATTATCCAACAATCCCCACTTCCCAGATTCCCACCTTTTGCCTTGCATGGGGGGGCAGTGAAGTACAATAATAATGAGATACCCTTTCATGACCAGGTTACCACAAACTGAGCAGATGCTTGCTGGCTGAGCAGATCAACCCTACACTGTTAAACTGTTGAGCAGATCAACCCTACACTGTTATACTGTTGAAGTTTCCATGACAAGGAATGAAGTGGTCCCTGGCCAATAGCTCACAAAGCATCGAGTCTTCAATGTAACAGTGCGTGAGGAACATGATCTGCCAATAACCATGACCCTGGAAGCAGGTTCCCCTGACTGAGCCTGGGATGCCCTGAGCAGGGAACCCAGATAAGCTGTCCCGAGACCCCTCACCCACCGGCACTGGAGATAACAGGCGTGTTACCACAAGCTGTGATGGTTTGGGGTTGTTTGTTATGCAGAAATAGATAACTATGACCCTCATATCTGACCCTTAGTGAGGCCACATGTGAAGATCCTTAGTATTAGAATGCCCTTCACCAAGTGAAAAGCTGAAAGAGCTGCAGGAAGAGCCACACCTGCTGCTGCTGGTCCATCACGGGATGCAAATAAGAAAGAACAGCATATACTTATTCTAGTGCCTCCTAGATACCCACTCTCATCTCAGGAAGAGGGCCTCAGGTCACCCTTTGAAACACTCCACATTGTTCCATCAATATCTACTCACAGGCCCATCTTCCTTTCTCACTCAGACTTTGAGGGCAAGGGCTATTTTCTAGAACATCAATGGCCCACACGATTTGTATTTTATAAATGTTGGATGCCTGTGGATCACACTGGCTTCCTACGTAGGAAGGTGAGCTCACCCAGACATACAGGATGGTTAAATATAGAGGGATACTTCAAAGAGCAGAGAGGCCAAGTCCATCTGTAGATGAACAATGAAAATACCTAAAATAGCCACGTAGTGCTTCTGATAAATTGGGCCCCTTTGGGAAACTGCAGGGAGTTGCAGAGATACATAAGATGCCAGGGATAATGGAAGTCTCTGATTGGGGCCTTTTAGCCAGTAAGGCATCAGGTTCTCTGAACCTCTCTGGCCCTCCTGGCACTAAGTGTGGATGTACCCTCCCTTGCATGGCTACTGTACAGGCAGCAGGTGCAACATCCTAGGATTGCACTCAGCCCCAGGATAGACTCCCTAGCATAATGCAATGTGAACAATACTAAGTTAATAGGTTAATAAACCATGTTGAATGAAATGAAGTATGATTTGTGGCTTAAAGTACATGTATCTATATGTGTGTATGTGATATGTAATATATGTTCACATGTAATACTTGATAATAATAAAGGTTCTTTTGTTGTTATTTGAGTGTATTACTTGAAAAAAGTTTGCTGTAAACAGTACCATGTGATGCAGCAACCTCATCCATCTTGCATTGACTGCATTTCCCGATTGTATCAGGAGGCCATGTAAGCAGTTGGCCTAGACAGGCTTGTTTGTACAAGCGCGCCCAAGGATGTTCACACAGTAACGAATAGGATAGGACAGATTTCTCCCAACATGTCCTGTCAAGCAATGCTCAACTACGTACATGTGTTTTTTTCCTATGAGAGCACTTTTTGTTTGGTTTTAATCACATCAGAGATTCCTTGAAATAATTCAGTGCTATTAGGAACAATTTTGGCAGAAGTCGATGTGCCATTCTTGGCTTTGTGTTTTTCTTTTGAAATCTCTAATAGGACCTTCACGAGCTTGTTTGAAGATGTTCATTTCCCTCCAAAATGTAGACCTTTTGTTCTAGGCATTTCTGCTATTCTCCAGCCAGTCACTAGAGGGAAGCATACGCCCATATTTACATACTAGAGCCCCTCATAGTAGATGAAAGAACTGCTAGTTCTGCCTCCTTGTGTATTGTAAGCAAAAAAACACCCCACTGGGAAACTAGTAGTAACCTCAACCTAATTGTAGAGGTAGAACAATGTTATACAGCAGACTTATTGGAAGCAGCAAGTGAATGAAGAGTTCTAGAATCTCCAGATTGTTTTAAACACTGGGATATCAGTATCTTGCATTTCTTTCATTTTTCACTTCCTCTTTTATATCTCTGAGTTTTTCTTCAATACATTTTGTGAAGTCAAGAATACACATATATCTTTACAGAAATAAATTTCCTTTTGTGTCCATGAAAGACGGGTTCTAGGACCTCCTGGAAACTAAAATCCATAGATACTCAAGTCTCTTACATAAAATAGTATGGTGTTTGAATAGGACTTATCCATATCTTCTTGTACATTGCTAAATGCTTTTTAATACCTGACACGATGTAAGTGCTGCACATATATATACATTTGTACATTATATATATATGGTAGTCAGTACTGAGGCTGAACCCAGGGCCCTGTGTGTTCTAAGTATACACTATACCATTTATCTACACCCAGTTGCCATGTTTTCTACAAATACTTCCCATCCTTGGCTGGTTGAACTGTAGATGCAGAGAGCCTCCCTTCTTCCTACTCTATTCTTCATCATCATGGAGCAGAATAAGTGGGATCAGGCTCCTTTAAGCAAAGAAACAAGCTGTCTAATGACTTGCCCAAGGCCATACAGGGATTGGGCTTCTAGGTTCATACACAGCTCAAGACTGACAGCTGCCTTGGCCACTTCCTGAGCACCACCCTTCACTCTCATCCTACCCAGTCTCCTTGTCTAGGTACAAATTTTTAAGGAAATTAAACACATTCCCAAAGCCACACTACACAAACGATGCATGGTAGAACAAGGGGAGTTTTTTGTTAAGAAAGTGAGAGTGGGTCTTACTTTCTGAATTTACACATAGGGCTAACACTATCTTGTATTCCTTCTGTTTTTTACTTCTTGAATCTTTCTGTATGAAGTTGGGGGGCTGGTGGGAACTCAGAAGTCTAAGCAAGACTTGGACTCTATTGAAAGGACCACTTCTGTTGGATTCTTTTAGAAAGGAAGGGATTCGAACTAGGTGAAGGGACAGGTTAAGCTGCTGTATGTCTAAGGTGTTTCACAATGGCTGGCAGAAAACAAGCTCCTGACTGGTCTCCCTGCCAGGCTTATTCAGAAGGAAGAATAAGACAGATGACTGGGAATCGAATTACTTTTCTTAAACACATAATACCTTGGTACTTTCTTACTTGGCCTGTATGATAAAAATCCAAGAGAATGAATGAAAATGAGGTCATGTGAAAATTCAGTTGTCAGCATGACCTGTGGAAACATGGAAAGGAAGCTAGTCCTGGAAACCTGTCTGCCAGCTTCTCCAGTACTCCCTAGTACCTGAGGGACTAAAGGAATTATTCTCTACACTTCCTGCTGGGAAATGAGAACTTCCGCTTGTCTTCATGGGGTGTCAGCATGCTGACCTCAGGGTTTCAGCTCACAGCTGTCCACACTTTTTTTTTGGCAGTGCTGGGATTTTAACTGAGGGCTTCTGCTTGGTAGGCAGCTTTAGTTGCTTTTCTGGTAAGGTCCTGCTTTTCTTTTTTTTCTTTTTGGTCTGGCTGGCCTGACCTACTATACTTACTCCTGCCACATAGGCTAGAATGACAGACACAATCCATCAGCTTTTTTTTTTCTGTTGTTGTGTTGAGATGGGGGTCTCTTGATCTATACTAACCGAGTAGCTGGGATTACAGGTATGAGCCACCTCATGCAGCCTCACACCCACAATTTTTTTAAAGCATGAATATTAGAAATGCTAATGGTATTCCTATTAAAAGCTCCGTGGGAGCCATAAACCAACATGAACTGCTCAGGAAGTAACAAAGAACAAGGATAGGTGGAATATCTCTTATTCAAAATGCTTGGGACAAGAAGTGTTTGGATTTTTTTTCAAGCTTTGGAATATTTGCAGATTATCTTGGGTGTAGTACCCAAGTCTAAACATGAAATTTATCAGGCTTTTTTTTTTCTGCTTATGTGGTGCTGAGGAATCGAACCCAGGGCCTCATGCACGCAAGGCGGCAAGCACTCTAACCTCTGAGCCACCTTCCCAGCCCTAAACATGAAATTTATTTATGTATCATATTTACCTTGTACGCATAGCCTGAAGGTAATTTTATATACTATTTTAAACAATTTGTTCATGAAGTAAATTTCCCAGTGTGAAATTTTCCACTGTTGTGCCATTTCAGAAAAAAAAAAAAAGGACTTGGTAGCACTTGGGACTTCAGATTAGGAATGTTTAAGCAGTATTAGGAAAATGATATGCCCGAGGCTGAAAGATGCTCTTTTCAGTAACAAAACTAAAAGGCAGTACCAGGAAGGATTCAACTTTACTTTATGAATTAAAATACAAGTTAATAACACTTGTCAGGAAAGTATGAGGGAAGGAGAGCAGGGGTTGTCTTATCTACTGACTTGATGCCAGTAGGGTAAGGTGAGGAGGAGGAGGAGGAGGTAATAGGGAGGGGGACAGATAAACGGAGAAAGGCTGAGCAAATGCTGTTATATATTCAGTGTACATACGTGAAAATGGAACAAGGTAAATGAGGGGTGGGTGGGGTTGGGAGAAGTGGGCAAAATGATGAAAGAGGTGACATTAATCAAGATGCATTATACTCACAAACTGACATAGTGCATTGAAGCTCCTTTATATAACTACTTACAGATAAAAAAAGGTAATTTTATTATAACTTGCTGGGCTTCCCCTTTCTCAGGTCTTCCTTTGGATTACTGATAGCAGCCTCTCAGGCCAGTAAAAACTGGATCCTCTCTACTTCCCTTTTTACCTTTTTTTCAGTTTGTTACTTTTTATTTATTTTTTATTTTTTTAAACATTTTTTTTTATTGTAAAGATACTATACAGAGGTTACAGTTACATGAGTAAGGTAATGAGTACACTTCCTATTGAACATTGTTACCCCCTCCATAGTTTGTTACTTTTTAGACAAGATCTTGACACATAAGCCAGGTTTGGCCTCAAATTATGTTCCTCATGCCTTAACCTCCTGAGTAGCTAGGATCATAGATGTGTGTCACCATGCCTAGCTTCCTGTTTTAGTTGGAAAGAGCTATATGTTATTGGTGTTGCTTAGAAAAGCTAACAGCAGTAACTGACTTCAGCTCATGTATGGGCAAACATGAGCTCCTGCCTTTCCCCTCTTTCAGCTATTGCCATGTTTGCTGCTCCTTGATTCCCTGGTGGGATCTGATCCTGGGTGTACCTGGCCATTGGCAGCAGATACACCTAGCACACCACTATACCCTGGTCCAGAAGTTGGGGTGGGGTACAGTTGATATTGACTGGGCCTAAGCTTCTGTGCTGAGAAGGAAAGTCTTGTGGCTCCCCATTACCTACCTTATCACTGTGGGGGTGATCTCTGCACAGAAGAACACGCTGAGGCTGCCCACTGCGTGGGATGCAAACATGCCCACGATAGAAAATGCAATGGAGAACTTGTCCTTGACGCTGTCACTCATCCCTGGAGGAGGATCGGAAGTAGGCAGTGAGAGGGGAGAGCAGGAAGACAGCAAAAGCCAGCCAGGGAGCAGGGAAGGGGGGGAAGGAAGTCTGAGGCCATCCCAGGGGCTCCCCTCCTTCCCGACTGTGGTATGCAGCTCTGTCAGGGACATGCAGCACCTTCAGATTTAAGAGCCCCAAGTCCTCTTGGCAGAAGACTCGAGCTCCTCTGAGCCCTTGTGCAGCGATCATGCTAAGCTCCCAGTAGCCTGTTGCAGTTCTCAGGTAGGAGCAGGCTGGAATCTTCCTCCTGCCCTGGGCTTCAGGAGCCTTGGCTGACAGATGGACTTCAGCCTCAGGGTGACTGCCCAATCCAGGGGCAGTGTTGATTTAGGGGAACAAAAGCACAGGTGACCCATACAGAAGAATTCATGGCCTGGAGGGAAAGGGCTCAGCCAATCCCAGTGACTGTCAATGGTAGCAGAGCCTGTCTTGGGCAGGGTGGCATGGAGCAGAGCACGCTGGCATGCAGTCGGGTCACACAACCAGGCTACTTCTCCTCAGAACTTCATGGAAGGCATGTGCTCCCTGAGGCCCAGCAGCATGATCTTGCCATGGGCCAGACAGGCATGACAGCAGCATGAGGGGCAAGGCAGTGGCTCTGCTGTCCCTATCGGTGAGCAGCAAGCTTGCACGAGGCCTGAGGGGACAGCCAAGCCCCAACACTCCCACGGCTTTCTGACCCCACTCAGGTGCCATCCACGAGACAAACCACTGGGGCTGTGCTGACTGTGGTGCCAAGGGATGGGGAGGGCATGCACGCCAAGCTGCACGAAACTGGGGACACATGAGTCGCTTGGTTTAGTAGCAAGAGGGCTAGAGAATACAAATGTATGCTTATAGTGTCCAACCTACGGCCAACTTCAGCTGCAACTCTTGGAGGACAAGCAGGGAGAAGAAAGAGAGGAAATGGAAACCAGTCTGTGAGTCTTGTGAAAACTCCCTCATGGATGCAATCAAAGATGAGGCCGAATTGGCACAAGGGTTTGGGACTCACCTGAGTCTGGATGCTGGCTGTATTTTCCGATCACTGGTCATGCCCACACACACAAGGGTATGAAAATGGGAAGAGGGGGAGAAGGCAGGTTAGGTTTGGGGCTATTGCTGTGGCTCCCACGTGACTTGTTTCTAAGAGAACTCCCTTTCTGTCTGGGTTGGCGCCAGCTGCCTGGGCAGTGGAATTCACACTGGATTAAACAAAGATGTTTTTGTTAGGGAGAGTGGGCTAGCGTTCCACTAGCCTCAGCCTGGGGAGATAATGCAGCTTTGCAGAAGAGAGCCTCAAGCAGATCCAAAGGCCAGGTTTCCTTGCATATGAAGTTATTCAAGGGCCTGTGCCAAGGGACACCAGGCACTATGTAGACCTGTCAGACTACATTTCTGCCTGCTCCAAACCCTGCTCTTCACAGCTACTTGCCCTGTGCCCAGGGTGCCTGTGGCATTCCTGCTCAGAGCCAAAAAGACCATCCGTGACACCCTAGGGGTTGAGCACCATGCCATGTGTGTCCCAACTGGCGAGCCAAACAGAAGCTCTATGGAAGGGAAGCTAGGGCTGTGCCCACCAGGAGGACTGGTATGGGCAGACATGTCACTTTTCCATTTCCATTACTATTCACAGCTCCAAGTTAGTATCCCATCAATGCATAAGAATGTGCCCGAGTTAGAAAATTCATCCCTGAGCTGGAAACTAGCTATTTTATAATCAGTCTGCACAAAAGCTGCTCTAAGATAAAAAAGGGATAATCTTGTGTCTGATTCCAACACACAAGATTAGCTCTTGTAGAGGACCTGAGTGCTTCATGGCAGTGTCCAGACCCTGTCCCAGGAGGGCTATGCCTGGGTGTGATGAGGTGGCCTAGCAGTCCGGTGCATTCCTGTCATGCTCTGGGCTGGAAAGGGAGACCCTGTGGTGGTGTCTTCACATACTGAGGTGGGAATTTGTGAGGAGCTGTATGAAGCTTCCTGGAGTGGGGGTGGGGGATGGCTAGATTGATTCTCTAGTTTGCCTTAGATTATCTTACACATTAACTAAGAAATTATTTGGTTTAAAGAGAGGCTGGTAAATTTGGGAACATCTACAAGAAAAAGTAATGTCTTGGTATGAGGGAGGGTGTCAAAACAGATTTATTTTCCATTAATGACACAGGAAAAAAAACAAATCCTTTTGTTCTTCTTTGTCATGTGATGAGTCACCCAGAAATAGCCTGCCCATTAGCAAAGTCACACCCACCAGGACGCTAAGGGCCTGGCAGGCTGGGGAGGCCCAGTGCAGCTGGACGGCTCTGCATTGGGGCCACTGAGCTGAGGGAAGGAGAGGAGGGGAGGCCCAGCAGCCTCAGAGGCAGAGAACAGAGATGCTCTAATTAAAGCTCTGTCCTTCCACAGCAGTGTCTTCAAGCTGTTGATTTTGGAATGACCACTCAGGTCACAGAAGATTTTCTTCAAGTCTCATTCAACTCTTCTGCTATAGTTTGGATCTTGAATGTTCCCTAAAGGCCTATGTGTTGAAGGCTCATGGCAATACTGGGAGATGGCAGAACTTTTAGGAGGTGGGCCTAGTAGGAGTAAATCAGGTTACTATGAATGTGGTCTCAGGGGGAGATGGGGGTCCTAGCCCTTCCTCTTCCTCTCTTTTGCTTGGAACAGCTTTCTCTGCCATGAGTTTCTCTATGCTCTGCTTGCACAGGCTCTGAGGCAATGGGACAATAATTCATAGACAGAAACCATCATAACTGTGAGCTAAAATAAACCTTTCCTCCCCTCAAGTTGATCATCTCAAGGAATAGAAACCTGATGCACATCTTCCAAGTATTCCAGCTCACTTCCCCAGCACATCCCCTCGTCCCTTCCTTTGGTCTACTCACGGTTGAGGAGCCCGAGCTGCAGGAGCGAGGCCAGGGCAGTGAGGATCATGAAGAGCAGTAGCCCTCCCCTGCGCCCAAGGAACCTGACCACCACGCACATGGCCAGGCAGGAGGCCAGCGCGATGCTGGCCATGGTGTAGTAGTCGGCATAGAAGTTCTCTAGGAGTGGTACCTTCACCTCGTGGCCCATCATGCTCCTTGCAAAGCAGTGGTGAATGCCGTACCCTGTCAGCCTGTAGGAAATACACATGGAGAAGGTGGTGGGCAGTGTGTTCAGGCTACAGGGTGTCACCAGGAGACACAAGTAATTCAGTATGTGAGAGGAAAACATACAATACACACAATCTGTGACAGAGACTTCAAAGAAATTTGTGTGATGCCAGTGCCAGTGGCTCAAGTGTAATCCTAGCTACTCAGGAGGCTAAGATCTGAAGATGACGATTTTTTTTTTTTTGTTGTCGGTGGTGGTTGTGGGGCTTGAACTCTGGGCTTGGGCGCTGGCCCTGGGCTCTTCACCTCAAGGTGAGTGCTCTACTACTTGAGCCACAGCGCCACTTCTGGTTTTCAGGTAGTTAAATGGAGATAAGAGTCTCACAGACTTTCTTGCCTGGTCTGGCTTTGAACTGTCCTCAGATCTCAGCCTCCTGAGTGGCTAGGATTAGAAGCCTGCGCCTCTGAGGACTATGGTTTGAAGCCAGCCTAGGCAGACAAATCTGAGGGACTCTTACCTAATTAACCAACAGAAAGTCAGAACTGGAGGTGTGGCTCCAGTGACAGGAGTGCCAACTGTGATGAAAATGCTGAGTGAGAGTACAAGGCCCTGTGCATGAGGCTTTTTGCTCTAACACATTCTTTATGGATGTGAAATAAGTGCTTTCTGTGCTATCAACTCTAATCCTACTGTAAGAACTATGGTCATTCCCACTTTGCAGGGGCCAAATAGGCATAGGCTGAGTCTCAGATGGCCAGTGACCATCTCCAAGTCACATTGCCTTGCTGGGTCTCTGCCTCCTCTGGGGCACTCAGGGTTCTGGAAATGTGGGGACCTACCCACTCCACCCAACCCTGCTGCTACTTAGCCAAGGCTGTAGGAGAAGCCAGTCAGAACTCAGGCCAGGCCAAGGGAATATACCTCATTTTCAGAAATTCTGGATTTCTCCTTGCTTCCCTCCCACCGTACCCTAGGTCTAGCTCTTTGCCCCTAAAGTGAGAACATGAACCACTGTGAAACATTCACCCTAACTGGACCATGTCCACGCTGCCACACAGGAAGGAAAAGTGAAGGGTCCGTTAGGATGTGGTGTGTAAAATGCCAAACCCACTCTTTATGTCAGCTCTCAGCATCCATCCCAGAGCTAAAAACTCCCTGCTTTCTCTCCCAACCACAGGGGAATCAGTGCTTTTCATCAGACCTTGAGGATGCATCAAGGTCAACTGCAGCAGACCCTGCCCCCATTGCACAGTGAATGCGTTTCCACTCACAGATGGCCAAGCCCCTGTGAGCCATTTTATAAGTTTAGCAATTGATTTGATTTGATTCCTCTGTTAGTCTCCTGGGATCCCAGACGAATTTCTTTTCTGGCCTGCTGAGATCACAGTGCAGTCTTTTGCCTTTTGGTTCTGGTAGAAATGGAAGTCCTCTAACTGTAACAGGTAATTTTAAAATAATAAAACCAGAGAGATTGATTCCTGCACCCCACAAGGATCATTAAAATAGAAATTTGCTTCTTGTCTATGTCAAATTTTGTGTCTCCCCTCCCCCTTCTCCCCCACCTCCCGCTGGAGAAGTAACAGGGTGCCAGTGGCTTGTTTGTAATCCTAGGTATTTGGGAAGTTGAGATGAAGAAGATGGTAGTTCAAAGCCAGCTTGTGCAAAAGTGCACTTGACTCCATCTCAATTGAAAAAGCTGGGCGTTGTGGCATTTGCCTTTTATCCCAGCCATAATGGAAAGTATAAAGTAAGAGAATCATATTCGAGGCATGGGCCCAGGCAAAAAGTATGACTCTATCTCAAAATAACCAATGAGGAAAAGGGCTTGAAGCATAACTCAATGGTACTGCCTCTGCCTAGCATGTGTGATACCTTGAATTCAAGCTCCAGTACTGCCAAAAAAAGAAGGAAGAAAAAGAAAGAGAAGTCATTCAATCCCTAATACCTCCACTAGCCTAGCAGTGCCCACATCAGACTGCTAGGCAGGGAGGTGAGGCCTGGGGGGCTCTGGGCCTGGCCACTGTGTGGCTATGGCTGGTCTCTTGCCCACCTGGGCCTCAGATGAGGAGGATTAGATCTTTGCTTTTCTGTTGTTTGGCAGTGAACCTTTCTACACCCCTCAAAAGTGAAATTTAGCCTGGGACCCCAATACTGAGGACTGACTTAATAGAGCTGCGTTGAACAAAAAGAGTTGTTGGGAATAGTAGTTCCTGTCTTTGGCCTTGTGTTATCTAACAGCAGCCCTGAGATCTTTCACAAAAACATGTAAGCCTGTTTCCCCAGATCACCTATATATAACTCCTACGGAGAGTGCAAAACCTCACATGGCTCTAACTCTGAAGGGGCCCGTGTTGTCAGGACAGATAGGATCAGTGAGATGCCAAGTTGAGACAGGAAGAACCTTCCATGTACACTGAACCCAGGGACAAGGGCTGCTACCAAACAAAGGGGCAAAGGGGCCATAGGCCCAGCTGGTGGTGTGAGCAACCCCTGGAAAGGCCTTAGAGTAGGCTGCTTGCTGGTGTGTGTGTGGGGGGGGGCGGGGGCAGGGCCAGCTACAAACAGGGAACATAATCACTGTAGCCTGGGTGGAGGATCTGGCCAAGCCCCTGTTTCAAGCCCCTCTCTGACATAGTGCCTGCAACCTCCAACCATGGAGTTTCCTCCCATTGTGCACCTGAAGGAGGCACCTCTGTGCATCTTTGTTTCCCTCAGAGGTAGATGGGGAAGAAGCCACCTCCTAAAGCTTCATCAGACCCGGGGCAAAGGAGACCACTGACATTGCTCTTGTAAAATATAGTGACTGTGCTAATGATACATCTATGCAGGACCTAGCTGGGCCTCCTGACTTTTTCCTGCCTCATGTATCTGGGAGCTCTAGCATGGAGCAGGACACAGGGGAGGATGGCCAGCCGGCTAGGCTCAGTGTGCCAAGTGCCCTAGGCTTTCTGGTGAAGTGGACAGTGACAAGGCCTTGCTACCCTTTAGACCCAGTTAAGCAGCTCTGCTGGTGAACCACCTCTTTTGGGGCCCTTTTCACAGAGAGCTGGCTCAAGGAGCAGGCACAGGGAAGGCTAGGATTCCAAGTGGAGTTGGGGTAAAGAAGAGGTTCTTCCCAACTCAGCCCTGTGTGCCCCTGTGACTCACGAGTTTACACACAGGACCACGATGTTCTTCCACAGGTTTCGGGTTCCTACCACCTTCACGATGCACACTTTCTTGGGCCTTCGGGAAAGCTCCTTCTCCAGCTCTGCAAGAAATGAAGTCTGTGAGCCTGGGCAGGACAGAAGTCTCTGGATGGGAGGCACTCCATGGCCCCCAGCAGGGGATAGAAAGCTTTCTTTTCTTTAAGTCAGGGGATATAGCATGTAGGTTTTCAGTACAGAGATGTGCTCACAAAGCTAACTTCACAGTTCAAACTTCTGTGTGATACCAGCAGTTGGTTCAGAGTATACTTGGACTCTGTGTTTTCCCTGCACACACACTGGGCTCACAAGATAATCAGGCAGCACCGGCTCCTGCACTTTTGAGCACAGCTCTCCTTAGTAGTATCCTAGGCCCTGTGCAAACAAGGCAAGCAGTTCTTTACCTTGTAGAATCTGCATCCATCTGTGCACATGTCACAGACCTGGAGAGCTGTGGCTGACGTGTGCCTTCACTTCGGGGGACAGAATGTTCCAGGGTTGCAGATCTTTGGATCTGAAAATGTGTCTGTGTGTGTACCCATCTGTGCATGTACCACAGTATGTGTATGCATGTTTTAATTAATGGTAAAAAAATGCTTGGGAGCTGGGGCTGGTGTGTAGCACATGCTTAGCTTCAGTGAGTCCCTGGGTCCCACACCCAGCACCCCAAAACTGAGCCCAAACAGGCCTTTGAGATCTGCATGATACAGATGTTTCAGCGTGAAGGGATATGACTAGCTGTAAAGCTGGGAGGCTGGGGCACTGGCAAGGCTCACCAGTTCTGAAAGCCATTCTTACTGGAGCCTAACAAATGTTACCTGAACCAGGCCAGCAATTTGACAAAGTCCTGAGCTGATGTGCCAAGCCGACAGGGAAATTTAAAACAAGGCCGGGGCCTGCAGGAGCTGGCTGGCCACCTGCTGGTGAGCAGCAGTGCCTCACAGTCTTTGGGGCCCCTCTGCGCCCCAGACTGGGGCGCAGCTCCTTGTGGAGCAATCCTCTACTTAGGGACTAAAACAGAAAAGAAAAACTCATAGACCAAGTGGAGCCGTTGCCCTTATTTCTTTTATCTTTTATCTTTCCCCCCTTTGGTTTATCTCTTATTGTCACTGTTTTTTATTTCGGTACCCTCTGTATTGTATATATGTGTATCTGATTTGGGGATGGGAAGGGAAATCACAGAAATGGTGAAACAAGGACAAAGGGTGAAACAATGCAACAGTGATACTTACAAGACACTGTGTTAGAAATGAACTTTATACCTTGCAGGGGGTGGGGGGAGAGGACAGTCCAGGGGAGGGATAGTGGGAGAAAATGAGGGATGGGGTAACACTGTTCAACAAGAAGTGTACTCATTTCCTTTCTTATGTAATTATAACCCCTCTGTATATCACCTCTACAAAAAATAAATAAGTAAAAATAATTCCATAACAAAAAAAATAAGGAAAGACTGAGAGAGTGTCACAGGCAAGAGGAGACGTGGCGTGAGCAAGGCAACAGTTAATGATAATCCTAAAACTAGTGTCCACGCCTTAATTTTTTTTTATTGTGAAAATACCATACAGAGGGGTTACAATTACGTGGGCAAGATAATGAGTACATTTCTTATCAAGCATTGTTGCCTCCTCCGTTGTTTCCCCTTCCCATCCCTTCCCATCTCCACCTCTCCCCGTACCCACTCCTTAATTTTTATAAACATGTCATGGTAATACCAGACCTTAGCAATGGAGGAAACTAAGTCAGGAATACACAGAGGTTCTTTGCTGTCTCAACACCTTTCCTGCAAAGATGAAACTATCCAAAAATAAGAAATGTACTTAAATAAAAACTATCGGTGGGGACAGAGAGGCTTCTGCCTACAGAGGAAGCCTTTTATAAGTGCCTAGAAGCACATGTAGTCACCTTGCTATCTGTGGGGTTTTTAGCCTCAGATTCAGCCACTCACATATTGAAAGCATTTGAAGAAACAATCTATACTGAACGTGAGCAGGTGTTCTTGGCATCATTCCCTAAACAACACCGTGTAATAACTGTTTCACTCACATCTTATCAGGGATGGGAGACGGTGTCGAGGTGACTACGGAACATGGTGGCTGAAGCAAATACCGTGCCGCTCTATACAAGGGACTTGAGCATCTGTGCACTGTGTCCACCGGGGTCCTGGCACCAGTTTCCTGACGTGGCAGGATGCTCTGAGCCCCCGGAGGTGGGGCTGCACCTTTGCAGCACTCTCTAGACCATGCACTGGTGCCTTCAAGGATTCCCACCCCAACTTTACCTCTCCTCTTCTGTCTCATTTGTCACAAACCTCATTCATTACAGTTTGAAGGAAGATATGTTGTTTCAAATAGGCAGCTGAGAATCTTTTATTAAGCACTTTCTTTTGGAGATAGGCCTCACTGTGTGGCTCAGGACTCCTGGACTCCTGGGCTCAAGTGACCTTTCTGCCTTAGCCTTCAGAGTACCTGGGATAATAGGGACAAGCTACCACACTGGACTTCATTTAAACAAACTCTTCAAGACTCATTTTCACCAGTCAGATAATGAAAGGGACAGGAAAAAAATCTTTTGTTTGACTGACAGAGACCATGCCTCCTGAGTTTCCAGAACTTCCTTCCTTCCTCCTCTTCTACCTCTTCTTCTTCCTCCTCCTCCTCCTCTTGGGTCCCCCTCCGCCTCCCCTTCTTCCTCCTCCTACTTTTTTTTTTTGGTTGGTTGTAGGACTTGAATTCAGGGCCTGGGATTTGTCTCTGAGCTTTTGTGTTCAAGGCTAATGTTCTACCACTTTGAGCAGCAGCTCCACTTCTTGTTTTCAGGATAAGAGTCTCATGGACTTTTCTGCCTAGGCTGGCTTCAATCCATGATTTGGGGATCCAGCCTCCTGAGTAGTTAGATTACAGGCAGGAGCCACTGTTACACAGCTCTTTCTTCTTATGTTTAGGGGTAGAAATTGAGGTCTATAAACAAGCTTGCATAGCTAGAGTTTCAGCTGCTGTGTGGGATGTTGTAGGTAGGATGACTGTGCTCAGAGGCTTACCTTAGACCAAAAGAACATCACCTGATCTAAAAAATACTAAAGCTAAAAGGAGGTGTGGCTTAAGTGGTAGAACACACATGCCTAGTAAGCCATGAGGTCCTGAGTCTGAGTGGAGGATGTAAATTCGATGTACACACTCCCTTTCTCTATTGGTTCAAAGCTAAAATACACTCATGAGTCATGGGGATTGCCACTATTTCTCAGAAGGACAATCTTCCAAGAAGAAAATATAAATATTCATTAGTAAAAATCCATTATGCAAGTTTAAACTTGCTCGTTCTGTTTTTTCCAATGTGGCCCATTCTCAACTGCTAATACCTTACTGTGTATGAAATATGATGTTAAAGAACCTACAACAATTGCATTATGACTTGAGTTTTCTTTTTAATAACATTAAACCTGAGAGCCAAGTCTAAGAATCGACTGTAGTCTACAGAAGTAACTGCATTATTCTCAACAGAATTAAGTTAACCTTTCCAGGGCTATTGATACTTTGTCAGGGTCTCTGTTACTCACATCATCAGCTCATCAACAACAACAGAAAACTTCTTCAATGCTAGGCATGCTTTGGGACAAAACCCAACAAACTCTGAGCTGTAAGAAATATTAACTGGGAAGTAATTGAAAAATGAGAAATGCTTTTTACATTTTTTAGTCATCAGATGGAAGCCTAGGTACTTTTCTGGAGATAAAAGGGGCTAAGAAAGGCTCCTGGGTGGTTGATCATCTATGAGCAACAGGAATGCTGCTGACACTTTTTTTTTTTTTTGCAGAACTGGGGTTTCAATTTGGGGCCTTGGGCTTTCTTGGCAGATGCTTTACCAATTTGGCCCACACCTCCAATCTTTTTTTTTTGGTCCTTGTTATTTTTCTTACAAGACCTTCTATTTTTGCCTGGGACTGGCCTTGGACTGTGATTCTCTTCTCTATACCTCTATACCTCTAGCTGGGATTACCAAGCCAGCATACTGTTGCCTTTTTGACTTAAAAACCCTGAGAAATACAAGCAGAACCTACTAAATTTTGACAAGCCAAGTATGTCTAGCACCTTTGTGCAGCTTCTGTTCCTCCCTATTTCCTTGACCCATGTGGTTAATGCGGAAGCTCTGGGAGCAATGATGGCCTGACAGGTCTGGGCTGAAGCCAGCTCTGTGCTTCTGTTGGCTTCTTTGGGAAAGCTGTACACGCTATCTTCCTAATGCAAGGTTTTGCTTCCTTCAGATTAACTATGGTCTGGAAATATTACATGAAAAATTCCAGAAATAAGTAATTTCTAAGTTATAGCATTTCTTTTAGTATATTGTCACAGTTGGTCTATTTTGTTGTTGTTAATTTTACTGTGCCTAATTTGTAAATTAAACTTTATCACAGGTATGTGTGTACACACACACACACACACACACACACACACACACACACACACACACACACTGTCCTGGAACACATCTGTGCCTGTGGAGAAGGGAGTGCTGCTGTTTGATCCAAGCCCAGGTCTGTAATTAGGATGACATGCTGCTGTGAGGACCACATGCAGGAAGGTGAGATGTCTTTGCAGTTTCTGGGCGTACACACATCCCTCTGGCTTTGTGCCTAGCAACTGCACCTGGCTCCTTACCACCACGGCAAGAGGCAAAGGTGGCCCTGGAAGTCGGCCCTGGCCTCTCTGCACCTGGGGATGTAGGTGTGAGAGTGTGGCTTCCAAAGGACAGCTGAGGAAGGAGGCAGTGGCACTCACTGGCCAGGCTCAGCAGGTGCACAGAGGGGACCTAAGTTGGCCTCGTGGGGCAAGGAGCTTGCCAGGCTGCAATCTTTGTGCACAGTTCTATTGTGGAAGTGGCAAATGTGCTGGGAAACAGCAGTTTCAGACATGATGACCAAGAAAAGACAAAAAGAAATGAAGGAGGGGAGGAGAAGGGAAAGGATGTTGGGGAGGGAGAAGGAGGAGAAAAAATACAAGTCACACTACAAGCACCAGAGCAGGGCGGTGGCTCTGAAGCCTGGTCCATTCAGTACAGATTGTGCTTGCTGTCTTTATTGCCAGCAGCCCTCCTTCCTTTGAATATGAAGCTAGAATGGTGACACTTAGCAACTTGAGTGAATGTGCTTTTGGCATTTGAATATTGTTACCAAATGACCCAGAGCCAAAGATCTATGCACATTGCCAACACTTGACCCAGCACTGCATTCCTGCATGGTCTCTTGACCACCAAGTGAGAGCAGTCATACTTCACTCAGGTCAAAGGCAAAGGCCCTGGGGGCAAACCTTCCTTTCATCTATTGTGAGTGCTGTGACTTTACCTAGTGCAGGGAATGTTGTGGTCTGGCCCTGGTTACCTTCCTGTCACTGCAGGCTCAGAACAGATTTATGAGACAGGGAGAAGGGCAAGGGAAGATTTCAGCTCTACCTCTGCTCAGGGCTGGGAGAGCCCTGTGTGGCCTCTGATGGGTCCACTTGGTTCACCATACTACAGTGGGGTTTCCTGCACAGGACCAAGGACACTTGCTTTGTTCCCCAGGTGAGGACGAGGGCTGTGCACGTGCTTCCCTCCACTGGGCTGCCTTCCATGAAATGCTCCTTCCCCTGGGGTACCCCAGAATGGAGGTCACTGCTCCCTGCACTCATCTTCTTTGGTTCCCAATGCCCACCTGCCAAGTAGGGGGAACAGGAGCTCCCTCCCTCACAAGGCTCTGCTGTGGATGAAATGCATGGCAGACACATTTGGAACCAGCAAAACTTCCATTCCTGCTATAAATGTTCACAATCTTGAGAGCTGTGACCCAGGAAGGAGAGCTGTCAAACATATTTTGACCACTGTGGGAATGATGCCTAGAACAAGTCCAAACATCTAGAGAAATTTAGCTATATAGCCCTTTAAGAACATCAGGCATGCATGCTCAAAAAGATTAAGTGAATTTGGAAAGCAGTATGGAGGCTCCTCAAAAGACTCCATATAGAGCTCCCCTATGACCAGCAATCCCACTTTTAAGGCACTTACCCACATGATCACAAACAAGACCATACTAAAGCTACCAGCACAACTATGTTTATTGCAGTATTATTTACCATAGCTAAGATATGGAACCAACCCAGATGCCCCTCAATAGATGAATGGATCAAGAAAATGTGGTGCGCGCGTGTGCGCGCGCGCGCGCGCGCGCGCGCGCGCACACACACACACACACACACACACACACACACAATGGAAGTCTATGCCTCCATCAGAAAGAATGACATTGCTCCATTTGTTAGGAAATGGAAAGATGGGAAAAATTATATTAAGTGAAGTAAGCCAGGCCCAAAGAAACATAGGTCCCATGGTTTCCCTTATTTGCAATAACTAGTATATGTCTAGGACAAGTAGAAAAGGTCAAAAGCTATGTACATATGACCAGATAAGATGATGTTTAGCAAAATGAACCTGAAGATAGGGACAAAAGTGTTTTTTTTCTTTCTTGCTATTGTTTCTAAGGTATTATAGTGAACCATGTGATTTTTTTGTTGCTTTGTATGTCCCTCCCCCACAGTATAACCCCTCTTTTCACTGTATTTGATGTCAGTCTAATTTGGGGAGGGAAAGGGAAAAAACAAAAAGTTTAAATAGGGATACAGGTTGACCTATTGTAACAATGAGATATACAAGACACTATGTTGAAAATGAGTTTTACAATTTAGGTGGGGGTTGGGGGGTGAGGGGATGTAGTTGTGGAGGTGGGAGGGAAGGGATGGTAGGGGATAAACAAAGGAGGAGGCAACAATGCTTGATAGGAAATGTACTCACTACCTTGCTCATGTAACTGTAACCCCTCTGTACAGTATTTTTACAATAAAAAACTTATTAAAAAAGATTAAGTGAAGGCAGCTTTAAAATTTTGGAAGATCAAGGTTTTCTTTAGTAGAAACCAAAGGCTAGGATACATTAACATAGCAAGAGCAGCCCTTTCTGTTCCCTATTCCTACAGCCAAGCTCTGATGTGCTGAGTGGTGATAGAATGAGCATTCCTAACCCTCCCTGGTTGCAGAAGACCCAGGCTTGTGTGCTCCATCGATATTGATGGAAGGCCTGTTACCTGTCAGGTCTCCTTTGCAGTTAGGAGTATGACAGTCGGCTTTGCTGCACAGGATCTGCCTGGCCAAGCCTCACTGCTCTGCTGGGGTGGAGGCAGTGATAAGGAGTCCCATATAGCCTGCCTCACAGCTGGGAAAAAGGCAAAAGCGTAGACAGGTTCACAGCTTTAACAATATGAGAATGAGGGCTGACTTAGGCTGAAGGAGTTGGTCAAAATAGGGTGGGAAATCTGTATGAGGAGGAAGAGTATCTGAGCCAATGAAGACTAGTGATGCTGGGGAGGAAAGGTGAGATGGAGCAGGTTTTCAGGCTACTAGGAAGAACTGGGGTCACTTTCAAAGGTGCCAGATGGGGCAAGAAGACTTGGTAAGATGATGCTGTGAGGAGATCATGTCTGATGCGGCTCTGGAGGTGGACCAGTGGTTGGCTAGAGAGGAGCCAGGGAAGAGTCTGGTGCTAGATGAGGTGGTGTGGAGTTTTAAGCTAAGGAAGATGGAAGGGGCAGATCTGAACATGGGGAATAGACATGCTGTGTTCTATACAGTAGTGTCATTAATGCCACAGACGTGGGAGGTGGCAGAGCCAGAGGTAGCTGTGACAGTGCCTAACGATGACCTCTGGGATGAGTGGGAGGGAAGACACTCCTCTTTGGTAAGCATCAAGAGGGATCAGCCATCTCTGGATCAGCCTCCTGCCTAGGATGTCAGATAGAGATAAGCACTGACACAACTTACAAGCAAATGGGGGAAAGAGTTAATGCCGCTTTCTAAAAATAGGAGGGAAATGAATCAGTGTAATTATAATTGAGAAAACAAGGTTTTCCCAGACAATATTTTAACTTGAAAGAAGTGGAGTGTGATGATTTAATTAGGGAGAGGCTGGAAATGAAAATACTGTGAGACCAGAGAGGAACCACTTGCTAATAAAAGGGGGCTTGGAGGTGTTCAGAGAAATTATCTGATGGTTCAAAACAGGCAAACCCAGCCCCAAGGGGAAGCCTCAGTACTCATCCCTTTCTACACATTCTGATCCCTCTCTACCCCTGTCTCCTGGGTTCAAGTCCCAGCTCAACTACTTAGTAGGTATGTGACCTTTGGCAAGGCCACTAGCTTCTCTGCAAATGGGGATCATTATAGTACCTCCTCATAGTTCTGTTAAGAAAAAATAGGGTAAATCATGGTATTTAGGACTAAATATGAAGTGTGAGTTGGTATTTGTGATCACTTAGAACTGGGGCTGGCATGTAAGCACCATGTGTTTTCTTGTCTTCTGTCACTGCCCCTAGAGAGAAGGGACTGGTGTCTCTTTGTGGCAGCAGCAGTCAACACTCTTCTCATGGACCAGTCAGATCTTGCTTATATCTTTCTTCATAACAGGGAAACCAGAACTTCACGTTAACTGACTCCACCTGGGTGGAGAGACTAGGTAGACATGCATCACCCAACCTGGCAGAGGCGGAGATTCCATCCTGGCTGAACAGTAGCACCCAAAAGCTCTAGACCTTCTGAGTCCACAGTCTAAAGAAAAGCCTGGCTAAGTATTATGGGCGTCCACAACCCAGGGTTCTCTTACGTCTCTTGCCCTGTCAGGAATAGAGGGCGGCAGGGTACATTGTCCTATTTGGTGCAAGCCTCTGCTCACCTGTGCCTCGGAGCTATGCTCACCAGCTATTTCTACTGTGGTCATTTGCCACCATACTCCACTCACTGGCCTCCACTACCTCACCCCTCCAAACAGTGTGTACATCTAACCCTTCCTGTCAACATGTATCCCTGCCTGTGAGCTTCCTGAGCAAGGCATGACCTGTTTCCTTCTCTGCTCTTCAAGTAACAAGGAATTTAGGAAATATCTGTTGAATAAATGAATGAACCAGTGATCACCACAAGGATTTCTAATCATGGAGAAAATGTGCACACCCTCACCCTCTCTTGGATGAGGCCTGTGGATTATTTTCCTAGGGAATTTTACATGTTTGGTTAGTATGGTTGGTCAGGATCTGGGAACCACGGAAAACAAGTGGTTTTCCAAAGGTGACCCCTAGGCCACTTGCATCAGAGTGTTTGCTAGTGCTTATTATGAAGGCAAGTTCTCAAGTCTCAGTCAGATCTACTAGGTCAGTATCTCTGGGTGCCAGGGAGGGGCCCAGAAATGTGGATGGGAATGACTTTCTTATGGCACTTATGGACCTCAGCTTGAAAGCCCCACCTAGCTAGTAGCAATACCCCTCATTCACAGACTTCTAAGGAGCTGAAGCATGTTATAAAAACAGTTCATGTTCCCAGATCTTCTCTTGCCCAACAAATAGGTTATGACCAGAAATAAGACAATGGTAGCTCTCTGAAGGTCAAGCTTGGGACAAGAGAGCATGAAGGCCATTCACACTCTGAGGCAGAGCTCTACCTGGCAAGGCAGGCAGACAAGGCTGACGCCACATATACCAGATGTAGCCAGATATCCCCTGGTGAAGACCAGGTATATGCCAGTCTTAAGCCACACGTGTGGATCTGGGCAAGAAGTAGAACACCAGAATGTGTTTGACTTATCATGAAAGAATCATTCCCAGGAAGTGGAGAGAATTCCCATTTACTCCCATTCCATGGCTCTAGCTGCTACTGATGCTCTGCAGACCATGTGGGTAAAAGAGAAAGGAATGGCTGGATAGACAGCTGTTTGGGAGAGCAGAGCTGGCCGGCTGTGGTGCACTCACCTGGCATCACACCCTTGATATCGCTCTCGGGGCTCATACAGTTCTTCTGTGTGAAGTGCAGGATCAACTTCTTTGCAGACTCGAACTGCTGGGTAGCCATCAGCCACCGGAGGGACTCAGGAAATATCCTTTAAAAACACAAAAGGAATTGCTGAATGTCTTTTGAGTCTACAGGGCATCAAGAAGCTGGGAGAAATGGACCTCTATGTAGCAGCTGGATGGTCAACAACCCCCCTGGGAGAGATGAGACTGTGAGCACAGAAATTTTCTTTTATAAAGTGTGAAAATTCAGGCTTTTAAATACAAACATAAAAGAATAGAATGTCTTGACTTCAGTTTTCTTCCTGCTCAGCTACATTTCCAGTCCTAGGATTTTATTGGCCAATTGGAGATTAGTCTGTTTAGCTGATTAGTCTGTTTAGGCTGGTTCAGATCTGCAATTCTCAGATCTCAGCCTCCTGAGTAGTTAGGATTATAGGCACAAGCCACTTGTACCAGGCAGAATATTGTTACACTTAAGAGTTACTCTTAGTGGACAAACCTGGCCATTATTTTTTAGCCTTTGCTTGTTTCAAGGCTGAGACTTGCAGCTTCCCTTCAGAATTATCTCTATTTTGCTTGTAATTAAGCATCATTGTGACAGTGCACAGTGGTTTTCAAGTCTGACCAGCAACAGAATCTTTCCTTTTTTAAAAAAATGAAATTCTGTAAGAGTCCCATCATGGGAAAAATATTTACAAGACTGTCAAAAAGAACAATCTGACCATTTGGCGCACTGTGTAAAGGTCTAGACAGTTGATGGTTTAGCTTTTGAGGGGGAAATCTTTGTTGTAATCTAACACTTTTGAACATAGCCATGTGTCAGTAAAACTTTATTACTTTGTTCCTAACAAGAGGGGCAAAAAGTAGAAATCAAAGTTAAGGATGGTACCTGCTCTAGTTATCATCCTGTTTTATTTTAGTTACATAGTTTCCAAATAACATGATGGACACTGGTAAAGAGTTATTTTTTCAACCTACCACCCATCTTGCTGGCTCAGGAGAGTCTTTAAGTGGATCCAGCAGTTTGAATATTACTGGGACCCTCAGATGGAAAGGGACAATAATATGTTTCAAATTGTAGCAGCTCAATAAATATGAAAAAAATACTCAATATCTCTGCCATCAAGGAAATGTAAAAATCAAAATCATTGAGATTTTATATCTCATTCCAGTCAGAATGGCCAATATTAAGAATATGAGCAACAACAAATGCTGGTAGGGATTCAAGGGTGTACCCTAGTGTACTGTGGGATTCAAATGAGTATAACCACTATGGAAGATATAATGAGATTTCTCACAAAACTAAAAATAGAACTACTTTATGATCCAATGACACACTCTTGGGCCTCTGTCTGAAAGATTATAAGTAAGGATGAAATGAAGGCACCTGTATACTCTTGCAGCACTATTCACAATAGCCAAGTTAGGGCAACAGTCTTGATGCCCTAAACCAACAGATGGATCAAGAAAAATGTGGAAAATGTATGTGTGAGCATGCATGTGCACACACACACACATACACAATAGAATTTTATTTATCCATCAGGAAAAATAATATTATGTAATTTGCAGGGCAATAGATGGACTTGGGGAAAATTATATTGAGTAAAGTAAACTAAGCTCAGAGAGACAGAGGATACATGTTTTCTCTCAAATGTGGACGTTAAGCCTAACATGTATTTGAAAGCACACACAGACACACACACACACACACATACAATCGAACTGACTAAAGAATGGCATACACAGGAGTGAGATTCCATGCTGTAATCCCTTTGAACAATTAATAGGCGGGTTAACAAAATGAATACCAGGAAGCTTCAGCTTCACCCCAGGGGGCAGGGACTAAAAAGAGAGGGGTAGGTGAATAGAGAGGAAGGATTGGCAAATATAGCCATAATACTCAATGTACATACATGAAAACTGAACAAGGAAACTTGAGATGTGTGGAGACAGGATTGGCTAGGGAGACTGTTGGAAAGGGAGACCCTGATCAAGATATATTGTATAGAGCCAGGCACCAGTTGCTCACACCCATAATCCTAGCTACTCAGGAGGCTGAGATCTGAGGATCACTTTTCAAAGCCAGCCTGGGCAGGAAAGTCCATGAGTTTTTTTTCTCCAATTATCCACCAAAAAGCCACCAGAAAACTGGAAGTGGTGCTGTGACTCAAAGTGGTAGAGCACTAGACTTGGGCAAAAGAACTCAGGAACATTGCCCAGGCCCCAAATTCAAACCTACAAGTCAGAAGTCAGAAGTAGAGCTGTGGCTCAAGTGCCACCCTTAAACAAACAAACAAACAACAACAACAACAAAAAAAAAAACTGAGGGATAGTGCTTAGGCCCTTAGTTCAAGCCCCAGGAGTGGCACCAAAAAAATGCACTGTACAGGTAAATTCACACGTTAAATGGAAACTACTTGGTACAACTATTTGAAAAAAAAGAAAAACTGTAGGCACTTATTTTCTCTAACAATCAAAATTAAAATTAATGTTTGTTTTACTGGCTTCTTAATTATTAAAATTTGTTCTGAATAATAGAATTTAAATAAGCAGAAACATTCAATATAACATGACATTAGCATTTCATAGGTATTAAAATCTAGCATACTAGAGATTTTCTTTCTAATGAAGTAATCTAACCCATCTATATTATTTCCATCTTGATGATATCTATGGCTGTACTGTCTTTTTCTAATTTCTCAATAAAAACAGATTATTAATGACCATTTTTCACTACATGCATTTAAAACTTCACAGTTGCATCCAAGTACCATTGTACCTATATGTTTTGATACTCTATAAACACTTTGTGATTTTCATTAGCATTCTCCCTTCCTTATGGCAAAAGATATAAATATGCTAATTTGACAGCACAGCTATTTCACAGGTGTTAGACCTCTGAAGCATCAAAATAGGCTTACAACATGTAGATGACCTTTTAAGATAACATTACTTATGTCCAATGTTTATGGACACTAATTCAACAGCAGGGAGTCACAAACCCAGGCTGTATAGGGGAAAAGCAAAAGGGGTAGTAGGGAGGGCTGCAGCCAACTTTCCAACCCTGGGATGTTCTTGTCACACCAGTCATCTTCTTTACTGAGCCTAAAACATTGCCCCCAGAGTGGGCAGCCCTGTGGTGATGGGTTTCTCCTACATACTGCTTTGACCCCTGGATGGAAGGTGGGGAGCTCAGAAGCCTCACATGTCTTCAAAATCAAGCCCTAAGTTATGCATACAAGGCAGCCATTTTTGTTCTTGAATTTTCATCATGGTAGGCACAGAAGGGTTGTGCTGGATCCACAGAGCCCTTAAGCCACATGGGACGATTCTCTGTTCTTCCCAGGTTTCAGAGCTATAAGCAGAGACCACAGCCCTGCCGGAGGCCTCACAAGCAATGCAGTAGAGCCCAGACCTCTGGGACACTGCCTGATCATGAGTGGCCATTTGCTATTTAGCTTTTTTGTATCATCCAAGGTCAGATCTACAGAAAACAGTTTCAACAACTGAAGTCTGGCAACAGGACAGAGACATTCTTGAGAAGTGATCATGATGAACAAGTCCTTTGTAGAGAATCTGAGAATCCCAAAACTTATAGAAAGGGGTTCAAGCACAGTATCACTTTCCAAGGTAGGGAGTGAGTGTGGGTCATCTTGGAGCTTAGACTTTTACTGGGCACCAAATCAACTTTTTCCTAATACATACTGAGCATCGACAGCACAAATCCAACTCAGATGGATATGCTCCTAACCACATGTATTATAGAAGGAGACCTCTGTAAATACACAGGTAAGAAAGTACACACATATATACAAATCCGAACAGTGCTAGGGGAATTGGGCAGGGTCCAGATGGAATGTGTTGAGGTGGGAGTAGATGAAGGGCAGAATTATGTTGTATTTGGGAAGCTGCCTGCTGGTGTGAGAAAATAAGGGATGAGGAGGAGGGAGGTCAGTCCGGGCATGGGAAGACCCTAGACATTTAGAATCCGAAGAGCAGTACCCACGGGATCAGTGCTCTCCTAGGAGATGTGGGCAGCTCTCTTGTAGCTAAGAGGCTGTCTCTAGACTCAGATGGATTGTAATCACCAGGTACTGTCCAACTAGTTTTGTATGTTAAATTTACTGTGTAGTGGCACTATTATTTACCATTTTACACATGGAAAACTCAGGCAGAGAATGTTCAAGTAGGTTGCTCAGGATCCCACAGGTAGTAAATGGCAGAGCTGGGATCTGAACCCTGACTGTGACTTGAGGGCCTACTTTCTCTCATTTAACTCAGTGGACAGGGCAGAACAGCCACACAAACCACCTAAATGGCCCTTAATGATTGGTGCCTCGGAAATGCTCTTCATCACACTTCCCCCAGCGTCCAGAATGCCTCAAGTCCAAAGGGCACATGTGGGGAGGACTTAAGTTTTACAATGTATTTAACTTTACTGCCAGTCATTAAGAACTCCTTGGGTTATAAGGCATTGAGAATGCCTGGAGAAAGTTGTTTTAGTTTGGATAATGTGTGGTGTGGTCACATTATGGGAACTTAATGAAAAAGTACATAATGTAATAATGGCATGCAAATAAAAAAGCCAGCCAACAGCCTAGCACTGGGGAGGAACATGAATGAGTCTATGAAAAACTGACCACATTTCAACCCCAAATAACAGAACACTGTGGTTAGGGGGTAGCTAGAGGCCATGGCTTCCTGCTTCCCCCACATGTGGATGGCAACAAAGTGCCCTAGAAGGTGACTTCTACCAGTCTCCTAGGGGACAGCTGTGCAGCTGGTGACCAGAGCAGCTGTGATCAGGATGCAGCACCTAATGTTGTTTTTCAGATCTCTGCAGCTGTCTAGTCAGGATGCATTTATGAAGAAAGGGAGAGGTATAAGCTGGGGAAAACCCAGACCCAGCAAATGGAAGCCAGTTCATGGAGCCATTAGCCTGCCTTGGACCATACGAGTAGACCAGAAGTTTCCAGAGCCAGTGTATTTAATTCTCTCCTTCATAATGGCACAGATTGGGAAATAAGGCACAGAAAGACCAGGATGGAGCTGGGTGTGGTGGTTCATGCCTGTAATCTCAGCG